TCAGATCTATCAAGATCAGAAATGGTGCAAGACTTGTACAAGTCTCCAAGTTAATTAACCACTAACAATGTTTGTGTATTGACTCAATATTGGGTTTTACCCTTTACTGACTGTATACCCAGATTTGTCCCGTGTGATTTTGTGAGAAAAAATCACCCAGGTGGGACTCGAACCCACGACCTTCTGCTTACTAGTGCAGACGTCTTACCACTGAACCACCAAGCTTGCCGGGGTCGGCTGGCTGGATCAAAAAGCAGCCGGTACCGGGTACCGCAACCAAACTATTCATAGTATGGAATTTGCATTGAGGTGATGTAAATTTAATACTGGGTTTTGCCCTTCACTGAATATACGCGTTTATAACAAAAAAATACTTTGGTGAAGTGGAAAACCCAACATTAAATGTTACTAGTACGTGGTTTCCTTAACTACTGGGAATCAATGAATGTACAATGTCCAGCAATTTATTTTTAAAATTCAGCCTTGCTTGAAACTTTTAGCCCAGGACAATACTGGGACAATTCTTATCACACAGCACATGAATGAAAGGAAGTCCATGCCTCCATGCACAATATACATGTAGGATCACAATATACTGTACATGCTTTGTTCCCTGCACAATACTGTATCAAACAAGGCGAGCAAACAATAGGCATAATACAAAAGGTACCGGTATTTACAATGTTATTCTCAGTATGCACAGGTATGCACAAGGGGGGGGGGGGGGAGGAGCACAGGCCTCAAGTGCGAGGAATAGACCAATTCACGGATAGCACCATCTTTGGGATCAAAGTGGTTTCCACTGCGCGTGTGTCAACTTTTACCAACGTGCATCGGTGGCTGTTACCGGTACCTGTCATTCAGTAATCATTGGTACATGTACATGTATGAACTGCACCCGCATGCGTGCGCTGGTGACCAGAATTGAATGACAGGTACAAACTGTACATGTAACAGCTATTGATGCACTTTGGTAAAGTTGACGCAGGCGCAGTGAAAAACACGAGTATCATGACCCATGACCTCAAGCAGATTACTGGAATATGACGCTACGTGTTTGTATTCTGCCCGAAAGCCGTCCGACTTTTTACCGAAATTAACGGATTACCTACGGTAGACCACTAGAAGGTATGGAATTCAATGCTGTTTTGCTAATCTTGATAAGCAGTTAAGTTTTGGTTTTGGTGATTATAGAGTGACAAAATAGTTCTGATGTATTTGATATTCTGCTACCCTAGCAACGGACAGTACCACACATTTGGAGTATGCGTTGTGTGGCTAACCCTTCTCAATCCTCCAAAATCGTCATGGCAGTTATGGAGGATTTTGGAGGTTGAATGGTGTTTTAGCACATGAGAATTTTGGAGGATTCAGGGTGAATCATGAATGGTGTTTAAAGAAGAGGAAGATTTTGGAGGATTGAGGATGAATACTTTTTTTCCGGATGCTAGCATGAAAAAAAGACCGCGCTCGAGTGGCCAAAAAAAAGACTCTGACGTCACGCCAACAACGCTTTGCTTGCACGTTAAAACGTTCAAACTCAAACTGCAGCTTCGGTACGGAAAGGTGACTGTTTTCACCATTGTCAACCCTTATACTTTAAGCGAACAGAGCATGAGTATGTCAAGAAGTACTGGGCATAGTCTTGGGTAGACCCGTGAACGTGGCGTGTAAACAACGCCAAGCTCTTGTATCATTTTGAACCTGGCGAAATCATCCCTCCATGACACCATGGAGCTAAAACTTAACATTATTTTACCCTGTGATAAGTACTCACATAAGAAACTTTCTTGAAATCTGCTTTTACGGCAAATCTTGCATTTGAACAAAATTTGAGGTAAAATCTGGCCCCAGATCTCGACGTCCCGCAACCTCCTCCTGATTCATGTGATTGACTGGACTCATATCAACGTCCCCAGTGCTTATTGTATTTCCAACCGTGTTTCTAAAAATACCGGTAGTAAGCAGGTTGTTGTGAGTAGGTGCGTACTGCTCGACACCCTGGAGACGAAGTTGGATCACTGGTACGCTGTGCCCTTTGTGCAAATTGGAGGGAACCATTTCGGTTACCAGTTTTCCCCAACTGACGCATATGCATTGTATTATACCGTATGATGGCTGTCGCAGCTAAAATTAGACTTGACCGAAATCGGTAGAAGCCAATCACAGCGAAAATTAATTTCCATAGACTGTGTACAAACGTGGAACAAATCAGCGCGTACGCTTGGCAGATTGACCAAGTCTGGGTTGCTGCATCACTTAAAAATAACATGTACCGTACATGTACGTTTTTAACATGATGGTCCGGATTCGACACATGAGGGCGCGCATTATGTACTGTAGTGTAAGGACGTATGCGATATGCGCTGTGAGTGGATTTACTATATGGGCACAGACCGAGCGCAACCCAGACTTAGCCAAGTCTTAGCTAAAATAGACATCGTTTTTGACAAGTTTCCAGTCCTATCCTCTCTCATCACCGCACTTCTCGCCGCGATTTTTATTTTTCTGAACAAATAACAAAGACCTACTTTATAAATACAAGGAATTCCTAAGCAAAAATGTAAAAAAACATTATTTTAGTTCTTGTACTTAGTTATTTTCTTTAATTTAAATTAAAAAATAAATAAAAAGTAACAAAAACAGGTAAAATTGAATTCATCATTAAAGAATATTCTTGTCTTTTTCACTTGAATATCCAATTTATTTATAATTAAGTAAAAAAATGCAGTCATTACACTTTTGACCTCTTGTTTGTGCCATTTATTAACAAAATTGAACAGTTGCTCTTCATGCTCTAGCTTACACCTGCTACTAGTACTGTAAAAATCAGGGGAAAAATAAGAAAAAAAGGCCAGCATGAAAAACATCCTTGCTGATCTTGTTGGTGAACTGGGATATCAATTAAGTTCACCACAAAGACAATCCATAGGTCTTATGTACAAAAAGGATAATGTACTAGTAGCCATCCTCCCCACGGGATCTGGGATGCGACATGAAACAGCCGTCAATCTGTCCAAGTGACAACCTTAATCGTATGCGTCACATGGAGCAGACTTGTCCAGCACTTAACGTTAAAATCGTATTTCTACACGTTCATATGGGTCTTCATATTTTGGCAAATTTCTTCGAAAGGACATTATTACACGAAACAGTCGTTGATAAAGCGCATGCGTCACATGGAGCAGACTTGTCCAGCAGTTAACGTTAAAATCGTATTTCTACACGTTCGTATGGGTCTTCATATTTTGGCAAATTTCTTCGAAATGACATTATTACACGAAACAGTCGTTGATAAAGCGCGACTTGTTTTTCTTCGATCGAGCAACAAGACGTCCGTCAGACGCCCTCATTCCGCAAACCGGTGCAAGGATTGAGCCTCACGGTGAACACATTGAGCTGTAAGTTTTCAGACTATGTTGCTGTTTTTCTTCAAAATTTTCGCTGTTTGGGAACAATGTAAGGGGTCTGATGGAATGTCATGAATGTGTAGATCAATCCAGGATAATTGTCTCTCTCATTTGTATTCTCTTTACCGGTTTTTGGGGGGTCTTTTTGTCCTCGTGTGGGTATGTGACTATGCTACTGTGACGCCGTCACCAAAGTATGGCAAATCGGTGGAGCGTTTGTATGGAGGGTAGCCCCACTAGTGTGGCCGTCGGTATGCTGCGCTGAACCTCTAGCCACACACCGTGGTACCGCGCGCTACTGAGGACGAAGTTTCATAAAATCTGCGGTCCGTTTCTTACATTCTCAGTTTCTTATTTTCTTATGGTTGTATTCTATGATGTTTCACCTATCACTTCTGGGATGCTTAGGTCTAATGATGTTCCATTTTCCGAGATATTCTTCAATCTTTCTGGAGCCCATATGCACTCGTGAAACGTCTGGTGATGGCAGCCATTTTGAATGGGACAAGAGATGACCTCAAGCTATGACGTCGCGTTTATGCAAATTGCTTGTCGAGCGCGCGAGGGCGCGAGTTGCAAATGCGACGGCTGTTTCCTGTACCATACATTTATCGTCAGGGGGCCACGTGCACCGATCTCTATTCAGGATCTACGGCACAGGAAACAGCCGTCGCATTTGCAACATGCGCCCTCGCGCGCTCGACAAGCAATTTGCATAAACGCGACGTCACAGCTTGAGGTCATCTCTTGTCCCATTCAAAATGGCTGCCATCACCAGACGTTTCACGAGTGCATATGGGCTCCAGAAAGATTGAAGAATATCTCGGAAAATGGAACATCATTAGACCTAAGCATCCCTGAAGTGTTAGGTGAAACATCATAGAATACAACCATAAGAAAATAAGAAACTGAGAATGTAAGAAACGGACCGCAGATTTTATGAAACTTCGTCCTCAGTAGCGCGCGGTACCACGGTGTGTGGCTAGAGGTTCAGCGCAGCATACCGACGGCCACACTAGTGGGGCTATATGGAGGGGTACCCGTAATTCAACGTTCCACTCAGTAGAGCTAGTGTAGTTTATGTGCATTTTATTTAGCAATTAGTAACGGGCGGTCAAATTCTCATCCGGTCGAAAATACCAGCTCTTTCCCGATTTAATATAATAATGACTTGCGAGTCTTCCATTCTTTCTGCATTGCACTTGCACAGTTGCAGTTGCACTGCCATGACTGCACTCCTGCATAACAGCTGCATTGTTGTTTAGCAAAAAAAGTAAAAAGGAAAAAAACAGTACTCACCTCTAAAGACAGACTTCTCTTGAACCCTTTTACTCAAGTCGGCCTATTCAGAAAAGCTCAGTTCAACCAAACATGCCGCAAAGTGTTGGCAAAAATTGAGAGTGAACGTTTGTATCCTGCGCCACACACACAACATGCACAGCACAGAGCTATCGAGGTTTTTGACTGACTACTTTTTTGTACTTTTGTCGGTCTGGTTCCATGTGCTACCCAATGTAAAATAGGAATATTTCAGTGACCTATCATCTGATCGTCAGACTATTTTCACATTGGACGAGAAAAAAAATGGACCACTATTTATTTACAGCGCCACCAACGTTTAAAAATGCTTACATGGAAATCCAAGATGTCAGCGCCCATGGGAAGCGAAGAGAAGTTAGTTGAATCAAATATGAAAAGCAAAACTACATGTACCACACACACAAATCTCAACAGATATTTGTGTATAGAATGTGGAACGTATGCCACTGCATTGTACAAGATTTACAGCGGAGGAGTGATTAAAATCGCGCACTGTGTAAGATTTTATGAATTTGTCAAGAAGCCCAGTTTCCGGACAGGATAGCCCCATAATCAGATAATTAAATGTGGCCAGTTTTTACCGGACTGACTCTGTAAAAAAAAAAAAAAAATCCACACTTGGAACATTTACCCGAAAATGTAGAACTCTGTCAAGTTTTTATTGGAAAGAATTCCATGTACTGGGCCACCACTCTGACCTCCTAATTGGGTAATCCTTATCTTTAGGACACCTCTATTTTTATGAGTTCTGTTCAAAACTGACTTTTGCAGGTGACTGTCCAGTACCGAAGTGACTTTTGCAGGCTAAAGCAGTTTTTTTTTCCTCAGATAAACTCATGTTAGTTGTCATTTTGAAAGCACTTTCAAAGAAAATGTGACTTTTCTGCCTTTTTTTGCAGTTTGCCATCTTGCTTTTTATATATATTTTCTGTTTGTCATCGTCGTCTTTAACCCCTCATAAATCAAAGCCCTGCCCTCTTTTTACAAAATTAAACCTGCTGTTATTCAAGAAGGTGTCATTGCCAACTGTTCAAATGTGTCAAGAAACATCAGAATGTCACTTTTGAGTGTCATTTAGTCAGCTGTTTTGGTGAGTCTTTTAACCTTATAGGAACGGGGTCCTAAAAGTAAGGATTACCCCTAATTGGGATGTTGGTAGCTGGAGTTACCCTAGCCCCACTAGTGTGGCCGTCGGTATGCTGCGCTGAACCTTTGGCCACACACCGTGGTACCGCGCGCTACTGAGGACGAAGTTTTCATAAAAATTCAGGGCAGTTTCTTACATTCTCAGTTTCTTACTTTCTTATGGTTGTATTCTATGATGTCTCACCTGTCACTTCTGGGATGCTTAGGTCTAATGATGTTCCATTTTCCGAGATATTCTTCAATCTTTCTGGAGTCCATATGCACTCGTGAAACGTCTGGTGATGGCAGCCATTTTGAATGGGACAAGAGATGACCTCAAGCTGTGACGTCGCGTGTATGCAAATTGCTTGTCGAGCGCGCGAGGGCGCGAGTTGCAAATGCGACGGCTGTTTCCTGTACCATGCATTTATCGTCAGGGGGCCACGTGCACCGATCTCTATTCAGGATCTACGGCACAGAAAACAGCCGTCGCATTTGCAACTCGCGCCCTCGCGCGCTCGACAAGCAATTTGCATAAACGCGACGTCACAGCTTGAGGTCATCTCTTGTCACATTCAAAATGGCTGCCACCACCAGACGTTTCACGAGTGCATATGGGCTCCAGAAAGATTGAAGAATATCTCGGAAAATGGAACATCATTAGACCTAAGCATCCCAGAAGTGACAGGTGAGACATCATAGAATACAACCATAAGAAAGTAAGAAACTGAGAATGTAAGAAACTGCCCTGAATTTTTATGAAAACTTCGTCCTCAGTAGCGCGCGGTACCACGGTGTGTGGCCAAAGGTTCAGCGCAGCATACCGACGGCCACACTAGTGGGGCTAGAGTTACCCAGCCCAGAGTTTTATCATTGGGTTGTAGATGACAACCCAATGATAAAACTCAGGGCTGGGTAACTCCAGCTAGGATGTTGGTAAACATGACAAAGTCTATGACTAGCCGTGACAGAAAAAGATAAACTATTATTATATTATTAATATTAGAAATTTTGCACTCTTTAAATGGTGTTCCTTCATCGGATTTACAACTTTTGGTACTCTTCAGGGCATATGAGGGAATATGAGTGGTGGCCCAGTATACGAGTAGATGTCTGAAAAAGAGGGGACTGATTTTCTATCGCTATAAACTGATAAAGAGGGTTAGTGTGCTTCTGAAGCATAAATAAACTACAAATAAAGTCTGAATGTCAAAATCCAAATTTGACAAAGTTTTACATTTTCGGTTACATATGTTGCAAGTTTGGCCTTTATTTACGGAGGTAGTCCAGTAATTGGCTACATTTATGGGGCTATCTTTAGGACACCTCTATTTTTTACGAATTCCGTTCAAAACTCACTGTTGCAGAGACACTGTCCAGTAGACCTACCGAAATTGACTTTCATTGACTTTGGAGGCTAAAAGTAAAACTCTTTTTCTTCATATTAACTCATGTTTGTTGTAATTTTGACACGCACTTTCAAAGAAAATGTGACTTTTAAACCTTTTTTTTTTGCAATCAGACGTTAGACGTGCACGCACGTTGTAGTTCTCAAAACACTCTTGAAAGCCTGACACAGTGAAAGCCCGATGTTGATTGGCTGATTAAACAAATCAAATTGTTTTTTAAACAGCCAATCAGCATCGAGCTTTCATTGCGTCGAGCTCTTACTGTCGCCATCTTGGTTTTCGAGTCTGTTTTCTGGTTGTCATCATCGTCTTTTACCCCGTAATTCCCTCATAAATGAAAGCCATGCCCTCTTTCCACAAAATTAAACCTGCTTACATTTAAGAAGGTGTCATTACAGCTGTTCAAATGTGTCAAGAAATATCAGAATGTCAATTTTGAGTGTCATTTAGTCAGCTGTTTTGGTGAGTCTTTTAACCTTACATAGGAACCGGTTCCTATAGATAATGATTACCACAATATTGAACGTCAGGATCTTTGGCTCTTGGAACCAGACTATCAACCGAATGGTTCTCAGACTTTATTCCAAAGCCACGGATCACTAAGAAAAAAATGTAATCTAACGTCATGAACGTTAGACCTACTTCAATAAAAAAAAAAATACAAGTAGCTAGGCCTAGGATTTGATTGAAAACATAAAAGTAAAGAAGATATTAAAAAAAAAAAAAGTTGTTGCAAAAATGTTGAAAACATGTCAATGTGGGACTTGGAAACATTTCCAATTTTGTTTGAAAATACTTTGAAAATGCACTCGACTCTCCATAGACTTTGTACACAACCAAAGAAGTGGCGTCTGGATACTACATTCTTTCCAAAACAAAGCACAGATTTGATCCTGGAATCTTTGACATTGTAGTCCACTGTTTAACCAATCGAGCTACCGAAGCATTCTAGCTGGAAGGGCAGTTATAAATGTGATATATATTTGCAGTGGTGTTTTTGCAAAGCCGTAAAGATAACAGTTGAAATCGCATTACGGCTGTCGTAGCCATTGCCACTGTACACATTAACCCTAACTCCCTAGCATGATTAACTAGGAACCACACCCATCCTGGCAAATTCCAACACCATATGGAAAACTGCACAAACATATTTCTGACTTTGATTCTGGAGGTGTGCCGACCCAACGTAAAAGACTGTCAGTTTAGGGGTACTGTACCCATCCTGACAGATTCCAACAAAATATGCATTTGGGGTTTGATGGGTTGAGTTCTGTTAGGGTTAATATGTTGAATTTTCATTTTGAATGACAATACAGTGTAGGCTACTTTCTTTATCCCAATAAATGGGCCTCAAATTTTGTCAAATATTGATGCTTGCCAAATTTACTGAAAAGTTGTCTTCCCTGAATTATAAATCTAAACTGCTCTTTTTTGCAATTGATATTTGCAATGAAATCTATCATGTTTCAGTCTCAGTGATTGAAAATAAAACATTATGCATTACTTTTCACCTGCTTTCTTAGAAAAATAAAATTGAGGCCTGGCAAGAAGTTATATATAGAAGTAAACAAAAATAAAAACTTGCAAATTATAGTTTAAAAAACAAATCATTAGTTTATATTCAAAAGATCTCCCCCTTCCCCTCCAACCTCCCCCAATCACCTTTTTCCCTGGAACTGAAATGACCCAAATTACGGCTTTGAAACTCAACTCCGCTTTCCACATCTCTCAATATGACCAGGAAAACTGCAGCAAAGTTGTGGATAAGTACGTGGAGTTTGATCCTGTCATCATTCTTCTGGATGCGCTGCTGTACAAGCCACAGGCCTATAGGCACATCTTGTTCAACACCAACAGCAACGTGAGTCTTAATCCTTAACCCTAATCTTCCCAAATCCTTCAAAATCCTCTTTGCAAAATGGAGGATTTTGCAAGATTGAGGCTATGTGGCAAAAGTGTGTGGCTAATTTTGGAGGATGCACTGTGTCAAGGTCTTGGGCAGGACCTTGTGTTGTTTATGCTCAGCTGTGCATACATTTAGGCCTATATTATACTTGAAATCCTCTGCACTGCTCCAGGATGTCACTGGCTCTGCCTCAACATATTGACAATGATTGCTGCAGGATTTTGCAGGATTGAGGCAGTGGTCACCCCTCCAAGGACCATTCAAAAAATAACGGAGGATTTTGGAGGATTGAGGCTGTATGCTATTTTTACATGGAGGCAGTTGGAGGATTTTGCAGGATTGAGGTTGCATCCTAGCAAAAATGCCTAGGGAGTTAGGTTAATTGTTTACAGACGAATCCGGTCAGATGATGAATTTATGCTCACGAGGCCCCCTTCAATGGAGAAACCACTGTGCATGCTATTGTACAAAGCAACCGCCTCATGACCGATCATCTGAACAATAGCTAGCTCAATGCTTTCGCCATTGAAGGGGGCCTTGTACGTCCCCTGATTGGTCTATAGATGATCCCAGTTTTTCCTACTTCTGTGATTACTGGGGTGGCTTTCCACCATCACTAGGATGCTCCAAAGCTCACCTTTGGTTGTGTGTTCAGAGCTTTAGAGAAAACACATCTGATGGGCACTTGGCCATGCAAACATCTCAGTAATGGTTAAAAACCCTAACCATCATTTCAAAATCAGTATTAAACGTGACATACAACATTTGCTTTTTGCTATAATTTTCAGAAATAGATGGATTTGAGGTACTAAGTATTTGATAGTAAATGCAACACTAACTAGTTTTGTGTTCGTAGATGCTTGGATAAAAACTAGAAAAAAAAGCTATTTTGTAGTCTGGTTCCCTGACGCTACTTCAGACGAAACGGACCAATATATAGATGTCAGGGAATTGTCAGGTCAGGGAACCAGACTAGCTGGCTTGTACCCGTACACGGATGTGTAACCGATTGCAACCAAAAAATGTAGACTAACTAAATTGGGTAGATTGGGGGCAGTATTTGCAAAAGTCAGGTTTTTTTCCTACGATGGTTAGCCAACCATCTTGAAAATGACAGCACACCAGGTGTCATGATGTCACAGGATTCTTGAGACTATTATTCACTTACAATCAAGTAAGGTATTTCACAATAATTTGGTAGGTTTTTTTTATGTTGGCAAGTGGTGTATATTACTTTAAAAGTCTATGGTTGTGTGAAGCTGTAATGCACCCTATTGTATACACTGTATTATTAAAACATTCATTTCCCTAATTTAACAATGCAGAATATTCATTACTTTGATGACATTGGTTTTCGTTTGGCACTGTAGATCCATTGGAAGCTGAGCATTCTGTGTTTGCTCTGTGATGCTTACACCAAATGGGCCCAGCGTTCCAGGCTCAACTCAGCTAGTGATCTTCTAGACAGGCAGTTTCTCTTCTTTGCCCTGCAGTGGCATTTCTACGTTATGTTTATCATTGCAGGACTTGGTGAGTATTTTAGAATCAAGGGGGGGGATATCTTCTGGGTGGGGGACAGGGGGTTAGCGATAGGGTGGTTGGCGTGTGGTAAATTTTATGGATATTGTGACAGAGGGGGCATCAGGTTCGACAACCATATTTTCCTTGCCCTAAATTTTTTTAAAACAAACTTAAAAGGTATTACTGCTTACCCTGTATTGAACCCACACTATGAACAAAAAATGAATCTCAACTTCAGGAAATCGGCTCTGTGTTATTTGAAAAAGTTATGGAAAATAATACTCCAGTTTACGTGGAACACATAACGTACAACAACCAATGCAGTCCAAGAAGATGGGAGGGTATTGCCTCTCAACATATAAGGGGTATATGGTTACCTTTGTTGGTGTGTCATGGCTGCCATTACAGACAAAACGCTAGTGAGCTGTGTGGTGCACATAATGTAAGTCAACTCTATCTCACCAAATATGGCTTTATTATTTTGTTCAGTGATATAAACTCATGATAAACTCTTTATAAAAACCAAAAGGCAATATACAAAAAAATCCTAAAGACAACATGCACCTGGCATCATTTAATTTAGCCATCTATACAGGTGCAATTGCAATTTGTTTTTCCTTCAGATTTTTATTTTTCGCCGACCAACTGACCCTACCTCAGATGCAACCACAATATTTTTTATAAGAAACATAGAAATAAAAAGGAACGTCAATAAAAACTTACCACAATTTTCACATCTGCACTGTCGGCTTTTTTTGTCAGAACTGAGTACCTTTCTCATCGGTGTCGTGGCATCAACAATTCTTCACAGAAAAATAACAGGATCCCCGGGCATATGGTACGTATGAATCCACGTTTGTTTCTTTTGTGAATCAATTGCGCACTTTCTTGCTTATAGATGTGTACATTCCCAGTTACACTAAATCAAAAAGTCCTATAAATTGTTCTTGGAAAAGAAACCGAGAACAAACAGAGTGACAGCTCTGAAGATTTATTGGTGCAAAAGTTCAGAAACCTAGTTTTGATGACAAGTATTACTCACTTTGGACTGTTAACAAATTGACCTGTTTGTAGACAGAAATCTTATTGAAGTACATGTATATGTATTACCATTTCCCTTTTCAAACGGATACGTATCATTTTACACAAAATGCCTGTTTTGCCATCTTTGTTGAGTGGTCGGGCACAACCCGACCAGTGTCTGGATTTGTTCTCATAAATCTTCTTTCTTTGAGTGGTCGGGCACAACCCGACCACTCTTTGGATTTGTTGCGATTAATCTTCTTTGTTTCTTTTTTTTTCCGGACAATAATTCTCCGCGGGTTTTCTCCTTAACGGTTTATGATATGAACTTGTAACTTTCAATATATATCGACCCTCATCCGAAGTGGTGCATATTACTCTGACGTCACAATGACGTCATCGGGTGTCAAATTATATTCGATTTTTGGTCAAAATATGACAATTTTCCGTCAATTATAACTCATGAACAAAATGAACGATCACGTTCATATTTTGTGATCTGATGGACAATACCTTGATAAACATTTTTGATTTAAAAGTCAAAGTTGCTTGACCTTTCCTTCCGGGGCTACCGGAAGGTCAAAGTTAGGTGAATTCAAAATGAAGAAGTTAGCATGAAATCAAAACAAAGCAAAATTTCTTCCGAACGGTTTATGGTATGATCATAAAACATAGTGTGAACTTGTACCATGTTACCAAGATGTTATAAAAAAATACATCATCATGACGTCATCAGGTATTAAATTACAAGTGATTTAAGGGCAAATTTTGACAACATTGTTTGCGCTAATCTTTTGAACTAAATAGTTAATTTAATTTAATAGTTTCTTTAATTTAAAACCATCATCAATTTAATTCCATCATTTGATCCCTGTCTCATATCTTCGTAGCCCAAATATTGATAATCATTACAATGTTCACTTTTTGCTTCCAAATACTGTGACGTCATCAAACCGGAAGTTAGGTGTTATTAATGCATACACTTATATTTTGCATATTTTCATACGTTATCTAACTTCACAAGGAACTTTTATCCACTCCGAACTAAATCAGTATTCACTCCCGTTTTTGACTTATGACGTCATCAAGCCAGAAATAACTTGGATGTGTTCATTATATGTTTACTGAAAGTTATCAATCCGTTAATTAACCCTAACCGAACACAACCCATCAAAGTTCAACAGCAGGTTTTGTTTAAATCTGTTGGGATAGGTACAGTTCCCCTAAACAGATGGTCTTTTACACTGGGGTTGGCATACCTCCAGAAACTAAGTCCAACAGTGTGTGTGTACAATTTCCCATGTGGGTGTTGGAATTTGACTGAATGGGTATGGTTCCTAGTAAATTAGACTGGGGAGTTAGGGTTTTAAAGAAGATTTCTTTTTTTAAATTGATTGTACTGGAAAGGATTTAATTTTTTGATCCTTTGTTCTTACATAAACAAATTTATAACTTGTCTCAGCAGTATTTAATGAAAAAAGGCCAGCCGGACCACTCTGCGTTTGTAACTAAACAAACGCGAAGCTCTAGTTTCCCTTGTTATTGTAACAGGTTTTTATTACTGTGTAACCCTCAATATTTGTTTACGTGTCAGTTTCAATTGTTCCATTGTTTACACCATAAATCATGGGTTAAAATCACTTTCTGTTGTGTAGTGAGTTTCAGAAGTATCTAGGTTATCGACATCCCGTGATGCTTGTATGAGATGTCGATTCCATTTCTTTTGAGTTTAACAGGTTATTATGAAATCATAATACTGTAATATGTAATTTGTTTTTCATATTTTAGGTATGTCATGTTAAAACCGGCCAAGCACATATTTATTCCCATTCATAAATATCTTTTGGTGAAAAAGTCAAAATAAGTCAAAATTAACAAAGTCCCGATGATTTTGTTCAATAATTTACTTCATGTTTTGTGACATACCCTTTTGGCCATGTCTATAATATATACTCACGCACATAGTGCTAAAAATCTCCTTACATGGCAATTGGCGCACACGTGCGCGATGTGGCGCAGAACACAGGAATTGTTCAATACCAGCGGGTGTTTTATCAGCAGTTTCAAACCACCCACATGAAGGGCTATTGTTGTCAGGAATGGGTCAAATCTTGGCAATAAAGTGAAGGCCAACTAATGTTGCAAACAAAATAAAGAATAGTTATTAATGTTTCTAAATATATCATCAGATTGCTGAAAAACAAAAACAAATGCTACAAAGACTTAATAAAAAGGCCTCTTTCTGACATAATGAGGGTGTTAAAATGCAATTTTTGGCAAATCTGTTTCCAGCCACGGCTTAAATGTATGCCTTTGTGGCAGCCCAGGGCCAAATGGGGTTTACTATCTAAAATGAAAAAAAAAGGTAGATACACAACTCCAAGTAAGACTAATCATTCCGATTCGTAAAATGAGTTTTAATGAAACGAAAAGGGAAATACTGTTGCATTTCCATATGTTTGCAAATTAAAAGCTGAATTTCAATCTAGGCGTGACGTGTGCATGGTTTTGTTGAAAAATTAGAACATCGGCAATTGCTGTGAAAAACAAAAATGAACGCAAATCCAACTGCAAAATTAGAACCAGTCTGCAAAACTTTGATTTGTTTTCATTGACAGTACGTCGTTACTTCTCCGTTCTTTACTCCTGTGCTGTGTGGGGAAGCTACTAGTAATACCTATGGTCATCTGGGGAACGACAGACATTGAGACTTGTATGTGGTTGACACGGTTATTTGTGTTCACATCGGCTACACAGGCCTTAAGAGGTAAGGATTCCTTATTGTTGCTCAGTCTTAACCAGGTTCCAATCTCATTGAACAGCTGAGGACGGAAACTTGCAAATCATAGAATGTACATGTATTACCGGTTACCAGCCAAAATCACATGTGATGTTATTGCTTGTGATTGGTTCTCCGCTGCTTTTGCCAAGTATTATTCTCTAGTTGAAAGGTAACGGAATTGGCACCAGCATCGATTGCTCTTAGCTGCTACCAACATGCAATTTAAAGGGAATGTACAACATTTGCTTTTGCTGTAATTTTCAGAAATAAATGGATTTGGAGGATTAGTATGCTATAGAAAATATTGTTAAACTGACTTAATTCACGTTTTGGGCTTGTAGATGCTGGAAAAACCCAGAAAATCTATCATATTCTTGTAGTAATTATTCGTGATAATTTGATCATTTCGTTCTTTGATGTTTGCAAATGTTGTATCTTCCCTTTAAAGGTTTATTTACAATACGATTGTACAGAAGTAGGCGTCAAACTAATCCATTCACCCGATTTAGTACTTGAGTTGCTGATTTTATTTTGCTTTTTTATGCAATAGATGTGTTGCACACAGAAAACCAAAAAAACTCGGGACCATTTGCCTTTCATGTATTTTGTTCGTTTCTAATAATAACACCATTCAAATTCCAAAGATAATGAAATGACATAATGAAAAAACCTAAATTATACAACACCTGAATAAATCCCCGTCATCTGATTGGTGGATCGTTGATCACATGCCATTGAATTATTCGTACCAGCGCGCCTGGCGCGCAGCGCACAGTGCAATGGAAGTTCCATTGCACGGTGAATAGAACTTCCAATGCACTGTCATTGCTGCTGGTGGTGGCGCTGTTTTAAATCGAGATAAATTGAATATGATTGTTCTCAACCTGTTGAACAGTTTGCATTAATATAAATACGATGAAGTTGTCGAACTTTTAAACCGTTTTTAACCTGAATAAATTGGCTATTTAAAGTCAACCAATCAAATGACAAGGACATTTAATCAGGTGTTATATAAAACAAATAATGAATGTTTCACGTTCGTGCAATGGAAAGAATAATTTCATTTGGTGACAGATAAAATGTCCCACTCCGCTCGGCATTTCATCTGTCACCTCATGAAATTATTCTTACCATTGCACTCACAAACATTCATTATTTGTATACTATTGAATGTCCAGCTTAATGGATATTACACTTTTAGAGAAAACACAGAAAATCATGCACGTTGTTTTGATCATGAAACATTATTTAATCTATAGTACTTTGTATTTCCAAAAATCAGTCAATTGACTGATCGTTGGAAATCACCTACATTTCTTGATTTCTTCCAAATGACAGCAAGCCAGACAGAATAATTTCACGGGGTGTTTAGTAACAGTATGATCTTTAATCCAAGTAAGCTTACTGATAATAATTAGGTAGGTTACTTTTGGGATAAATGCAAATGATCCTATATGCCTGAATGTAGAAAATTGTTTGAGGTCCTTTGGTACCACATAACTTCAGTTAGGGTTATTTCATCAAGATTTCTTCTCTCTTTTTTTGCAGTCATAATGAATTCACATACTGCGCTAGCAAGCAGCTTGATCTTGCTGGGGTTTTCGGCACAGTATCTGTCCACCCATCTGTCACCCCTTCTGGAGTGGGTTTTGATGCAGAGCTTTGCTTCATGACCAAAGAGTCAACCTTCACATAGCTTCCCAAGATGCACTCAAATTGCCAAATATTTAGCACTTAAAATTAAGTTCTTTACCTGACGAGCCTACATATGAAAAGGCAGACGATAATAAGCAAAAGAGCAGTAATGCAAGTAATTTTCATATTGTCCATTTTATTTGACATCAACACAAATGTGCTTGAAGATATGCTACGTGTTCTGTCACTGGCAGCAGTAACATTACGCTTGTCAACATAATCTTTGAAGTTCAAGCAACTTCATGTATGTAATATTAATATCTGAAATACACCAGCTGTCTGAAGTAAAAAATATAGTTTAATAAAATGGTGCTTACTTATGGTCAGAAGTAAATCTTATTTGTACAAGGCAATTCTAAGATTAACCACAACCCATAATAGATGGATTTGGAATGATGTTGTAGGGTTGAGGAAGCCACCGTTACTATACATAGGGTTTGATTGCTAATGGTGGATTTTGGAGGGTTCAAAAAGGTTCCCGAGATAAACACCAAAGGAGTTATGGTTAAATATCGAGTTAAAAGACATTGTAATAAAATATTACGCTCAAAAATCTCAATGCATTTGTTTAATAAACTTTACCCAACATATTTGGCTCAAAACCAAAATCCAGGTTTTTTTATCTGTTATTTTGTATGCTGCTTGTTCTGTGCTACTGTCAATATTTTGTTTGTATAATGCAAAGCCGAGAAGACTTGGACCAAAAATTTGAAATATGAAAGCGCAAAAAAATAATATACAAGTGTTTACTCCAGACTTGTAACCTTCAGTAGACCGATTCACTAAGCCAGTCACATGATGCCTTGACCGACCAATCACAGCCTTGATTACTGTTCGACATGCGTGCACAAAAGTTCAACATCCTGCACGTGCCTATGATGCGTGCGGCTGGAACACACTGTGTGGTACGTGGTCATCTTTTCAAACCGTGGACGAAAAATACCAGAGAACAAAAGAGAACAATAACGTCCACGATTCCCAGCATACGTCCACGATTGGGGTCATGTACAAAGCCTATGGGAGTGATCGACGGTGAACACACGTTTGCGTTCGCAGTGGGAGGAATTTAATGGATCTTACTTGTGTTTTACTTCTTATCAATGCAACTAAGAACCCAAAAACGCAGTAAAATCTGAAGCAATTTTTAGCTTCCATGTTTCTTTTGACTTCTGGTGAAACTGAAATTACCATTTCTACCGACAATCGGAAATAATGTTACGATGTAAATAGAAGTGTCACAAATCACTGTTCATGCTGCTTAACTGAACCTGAATCAACAAGTCAGGTGTGTTTACAAACACAAATGCCCCGCAACCGTGACTGTTCCCATGACATAACACCACTCTTTTAACATCAACTTACATGTACCTTGGTCACATGGAATGTTCATTGACAGCATTAGTGTCTTCTGTAGGTTTTATATGAATTAATCCCTAATCCCTATGATCTCAGAATAAATACAAGATTTCGATTGTTTTAGCCACTGTGACCTTGACCCTTGACCTTTTGGCCCCAAATGCAAAAGGCTTCTTAGGATTACCAAGGACAATCCATAAACCAAATTTGAAGTTCATTTGTAAAGTATTTCTCAAGTTATCGCGCTGACAAAATTTCTATTGTTTCAGCCACTGTGACCTTGGGCAATTCTGACTTTGCACCTTTGAACACCTTATTTTCATCTTGCATGCGAAAATGAAGCAAAAGTCTTGCAGTCAAGGCACTTAAGATGGATCACAAGTCAATTCATCAGTCCAGTAACAAGTAACGTGCGATGAACAATAAGGGAATGCCTGTGTCACAGTTCGGTTGAGTTTACCTGGGACTGCGTGACTTGTGATTGACTTACAACTGACTTACGATTGACTTGTGATCAACACAAGTACCTTGACTGCACTGCATTCTTCCTCCAACTCCAAAATCTTTATCCCTTAATTTTATGAAACAATGTTAGTAATAATCAACATAAAACTCAGTAAATTGTATGTACAATCATCCATGTATCTACTACATGTATGTTCTACCTACTCTATAAAAGAATATGTTACAAAATTGAAACAACTTGTATAAACTGTATCTGTATAAACTACTTGACATAGATTCTGGTTATTTTTGGTTCACACAAAGTATGACGAGTTCTGCTTAAATATATGCAAACAAATGTAAATGTACAATTGTTTTTATAACAATATAAATATACATCTTCCTTCCTGAATATGCTTTTAATATAAACATCGACAGATGTTGGATTACATGCAAAAATACAAACTCACTTTCGGTATTTCCTTTTTATTTGTACAAAAATAATCAGTGATGTGCAAAATATTCAACTATTCTGTATACAAGGATATGCCTGTGAGAAACTGTCCTTTCAAAAGAAGGCTTTTTGATTGTGTGACCTTTCAGGATTTCAGGTTTTAGGCATTAGACAAAAATGAGTATACACGTGGAATTAAATTTAAGGGAAACTCAAAGAATGGTCTGAAACTTGATCATGTTCCTTAATCTCTGAAAGAAAAGGATATTTAGAAAACAGAACGAACTTGCAACCATGATCTCAAGCTGGGTTAGGAGAACCTCAACAGAATCTTGAGGAATCGCCTTTTCAGTTTAAATGTTACCTCATGTTTTGTATTTTTCACACACATCAGTACCCCGCCAATTAAATTATTGACTGGCTATTTTACAAATACGCAAAAAATACATGTTTATATTTTTTTTAAGCAGTTGAAAAATGTCAAAGCTGCCACCAAATTTAGGCACTAGGTGCTAAGCTTTTGTAAGACACTGAGGACTCTTTTGTTTCAAATCTTCTCCCAAAAGTGAACACTGAAGTCCTCGTTTTCAAGGCTGATTGGACATTTGACTTTTGAAAAATTCCTGCAAATAAGCTGGTTGTTTCCGTTTTTTGGGGTGTTTTTTTTCCATTTTTTTCCCTGATCACCAGTTGTACACTTTCATTTACAAATTTCTTATGGACTCGGTGGCGTACATCCGTGCTGGTGAGGGAAATGGGGGATGATCAAAATACAAAAATTGCTCGACCGTGGAAATTTGAAATAGGGACGGGGAGGCTTGCTTGCTGGAGACCACATTACGCCGGGGGGTGATTTGCATAACACAGATATTCATCTTGTGTATGCTTATGGGCCTTAACATCAAAACGGCGCACTTAAACCTTTTATCCTTTTTTTTCTCTGTTTTTCAGTGCTACTGAATACATTTTGGTTGTTGGGAAGTTTGACAAATACCTCAAAATCCGCAATTTTTGTCATAAAAAAGTGGGGGATGATCCAATAGCCACAATGAAAGAGGGGGGGGGGGAAATAGGGATATATACCCACAATCCCCCTCCCCCGGGTCAGAAAGTGGGGGGGGGGGATATATACACCCCCCCCCCCCACGATGTACGCCCCGTATGGATTCCATTCACAAGTACCCCCTCAACGGTTACAAAGGGAGAGTTGGAGGAGACCACTGGGAGAGACATTCAAACGTATTGCTGACGACGCTCCGACCATTACACGTGAAGACGCTAGGAATTTGTACACGTCAAGAATAAAAAAATAAGTCATATATACTTCGTGCCATACCAGTACGCACAAGTGGCCACTGGGACACATAAGTCATCACAAAGCACAATCTACCATTCATGCACACAGTGCATAGTGATCATTTTTTTGACATGTCCTATAAGGTTTGTACACAAAAACCTACCGAGGGCTTACTGTTATCTCAAGTTACCCTTTGTTCCAAGTCCTACTTTACACAAAAGACACCGTTCCTTCAAGGCACAAGCTTCTAACAAATAATCGTGTTTGTAAGGAATGTCTTCCAGACAATTCAACTTGGATTTGTAATTATTTACAGTTGGCAGTACTTACCCCAAGTAATGGAAGTTTCCAAAGATTTCTCTTCTATATCTATTTGCAACACCTATCAACCCTTTCCTCGTACTGTTTTTAGGGTTTTTCCCAACCATTTGGCAATTGCTACTAACACCAACCAACCACCCTCTAACGTGTTCATAACCCTTGGAATCGGTATTGTGGTCGAGTCAATCACAAGGCCATCACAAGTCCAGTCAAAAGTAAACGGAGATGAACAATAAAGGATTAATTTGCTTTGTCAACATTCATTAGAGTAGCTCGTTATTTGACTTGAGACAAGATGACTTGTGATGGACTTGAGACTTACATGACCCCAATACTGCTTGGAATGTAAAATGCACACAATTTTTTTCTCAAGATTTGCCCTGGTCAAGAGTTTAACCTTTGACCCATGGTTCGTACCTTGGCATTCTGCCAAGTACTTCACCAGAGCTTGTTGTCTCCTCAATCTAGGCACAGCTGCCTACCTTGGTTTAAAACAAATAAGTTGACACTTGTAAATTCTGTTCACACACAGATGTTACAATCACACACAAAGAATTTCACCACGAACTTGCCCGTCACCGATAAAATGTAGAGTCAACCACCATTTGTTATCTTGAACAGAATGCAAAAAATTCTTTACAAAAACCATCACCTTTCAAACGCATATTTACAAACCTGTAAATTGACCATTTAGTCAATAAGCACAGGTCATGTTGAGTAAAAGTACATTTCATGACAAGGCAATGAACCATGTGACCTGTGACGTCATGCTTGGCGGGTTGCCAGCAGGCTAAACAGCCACCCAGGCATCACCCTCATGTTTTCCCCATACTAGACAGCGCAAGGTTTTCAAATATTAAGCCATTTTCAAGTGCAGCGTACAACACAAATGCTAGCTTTTATCATAATATGTCATTGCCCTTTTTCTCAGTTGTGACCACAATACACAATTCTGCAAATCATTCTATTGTGCTAAAGTTTTCATTAACATCAGCTGCAACACTTTCAAACAAATCTACAATTATTCAAATCAAACCGTCAAATCAAACAAACAGCATGCAAAACAGCAGTTTAGCTTCAGTTTTGCTGACTGCAGTGACTTTACTGTCAGGGGGGAGGTTGCTGCAAAATATCTACTCTGTAAATTCTATCTGTTGCTGCATATGGCTTCATGTGATAAGCATAAAGGCCACTGTGTGACTTAATGTGAGGCCTTAAAAACCTATCAAACAAATTTGCACAAATAAAAGCATAACCTGGTTTGAATTTGGTTATGTTCTAAATGCCAACAGAACAGACTTTGAATGTATTATGTTAACAGCCGCATATTCTATAGTGATGTCACATTTACACTCACAGAGCTTTGGGATAATTTCACGGAATTGGGCTAAACACTGAAATGATGTAAACTGGTTCTGCCACTGCAGTAGAATTCACATCCTGCGGCCACACAGCCTTGTTTTTGAGCAAGGTGCCTTAATCAGTCGAGGAGTCCCTTTTTTACAGAAAAGATGGCTTGCAATAACATGTGGCCTAAAAAAACGGACATCACACTTTCTCCTCAAATGCAATCTGTAGCTCATCCAAATCGCCCGAGTCCTCCGTGCTCTTTGACCCGCCCTGGCTGCTCACTGATGAGCTGTCATCCCCGGCGTTGTCTGATGAGCTTAGCGAGGGGGTTGGCATCATACCCGTGAAGTCAGGAATAGTGGTGTCGGCGGCAGGGGTGTGACTGACCGCCTTGCTACCGCTGAGTTGGTGACAGGGGGGTAGGTCTGGTTGGTCCTCTTCCGTGCTCTCATCTGCCTCAAGGTACTGTAGGTTGCCCATGGCGATGGAGTATCGAGCCATGTTGCCTAGCGACGGGACCATCGGGGAGGTGCGGAATGAGGCAAAACCTGGGAGGAAACATTCACAAATCCAGTCAGTTTTTGAGTTCAGAACTCAACCAACCACCAAGCCAAACATACTACAGTCCAATTGTGAGCATTTTTTACAAATTTGGGGGTTCATTTATTTGCACAATTTTAAACCTCTCGGTAGACTGTGAAGGATCTGGAAGCATCAGGATTAAAATGGAAAACTCATTAAGTTAAAGAAACATGCTTTTTTTGTAATAATGTACTTTTTTCTTACTTCTAAAATGACAAATTTTCTTCACCCCAACTCACAATAATGCACACTGGAGTCCATGCTTGGTGCACACAGAAATGTGATTGCTAAGCTAACATTAGTGTAAAACAGTGATTAGGTTGATATTACGACATCCAAGACATGAACATGTGCCAAAATGTTAAACATTATACAAAATACAATGACATTAAAATTCAATGTGTGCAAAACTTGAACGTGCAGTCGTGCATAGACATACACAAACATTCAGATTTGATGAAACCATTAACCCTGCCAAGGCTCAGCAATACTTCATCCTGAATGACATAAAAAACATCATGCAATGGTACAAACAATGAATGGTTTACCAAAGTGATGAACTAGGGAGGTTACAAATGTTACAGGAAAACTGTTACAGAATTTGGAGGGGAGGGAGGGAAGGGGTTATGTTGTTACTGGGGAAAAAACATATGGTTATAGTGTCAAAGTCAGACATAGCACACCAATAATTACAGTTCATGACATACATACATACAACACTTTGTTATTAAAAAACACGGTTTAATCACACTAATTATGTTGCCTGTTTTTATCCAGTCAACGGTGACACATCCAGTGATTTTTTTTTACACATACTACAGTAACCTCACACTGCTACACTAAACACAGATCGTCCCCGTTCTAAGTGAAAATTTTTAGATGCTTACTGCAGCCACATGAAATTCTTTAATGGAGCGATTTTGTGTGCACAGACAAATATGAACATGCATACTACTTGAGGCTAACCAACATAGCTACAACTAAGCGGCAGTCTCACAGCCCTGGGGAAGTACATCAGACCAAACGAGACAGATATGACAGATGTGACTCACTCACATGTAAAAAAGTAGACAACAGAGAGTTAGAATCAAGACCTCACAATTCCTCACAAGTCCTCACAAGTCCTCACAAGTCAATCACAAGTCCTCACAAGTCTGCGCAACTTATCACAAGTCCTCACAAGTTATTAATTGAACGGCGACAAAAACATTCCTTTGAACATGCTAATCTCCTGTTACTTTTGAGTTATAGTTTGACTTGTGATCAATTTGTGATTAACTTGCAATTTGTTTATGATTTCTTCATTATTAATTTTTGATTGACTTGGGATTTACTTGTGGTTTAACTGTCTTTTACTTACTGACTTGTCATTCACTTGTCCCTGAATTTGTGATGACTTGTGATGGATTCAACTACAACTCTGGTAGACAAACTCCCTCTAGGTTGTATTTTTGTCAGAGAACAATCCGTTAAAAATCCTACTACGAAATAAAGTTACTTCACTCCTCCTGTTCCCCATGTTAGTCCACCCTACACCATGCATACCCTGTTTAGCTGCTGCATTTGGACGCGGCCGGCCCCGAAACACTGCAGCGCTTGTATCTGGTGAGAAGAAAGAACCGACGTGGTTGACAACATGGATGAGATGACAATGCTGTTTGTAACACGAGTGTGATAGATGATGCCCTGCCAACCATGATGACTGTTACCGTAGCAACAGAGGCTGAAATTCTTCCAAGGACATCTGCTGATGTTTAATCAAAATGGCTGACTACCCTTCAGATAAGGCAGAAACTTGTCATTTCTACAACACCGGTTCAACTGCTGCGAAAATACTCGTTTACCATTTACCATTTACAGTTGAACCAGTTCAGAGGTCTTTGGCATTTAGAGACTGAAGTTTCTCACCACTAAAATCAAGAATTGAGAGAAATTTTCAAACTACACCAGCTCCAGGATCAGATTGGTTCCTGTTCAGATTACTTCTCAGATAAATACTTTTGAAGAATGACAAAACTGTGTATCTTTTAAAACTCCTATGTCTTATAAATTTCACAACGAATCAAACAGTGTCACCACCCAGCTAGGTAGTTTAAAAAAAAAATAAGTCAAACTTACAAGTGAACTTTGAAAGGTGGACGAGGAGCAGTGAGTTGAACTTGCCGGATGAGAAATAATACATTTTGCACATTTCTTATAAAACCTAATCCTTATGACATGACATGTAATCATATCGTACAGGATATGGACATACACGCAGGAGTTCCATTCTTATATTTATATCTGACCTAATTGGCCACATCCGCATTTCTTGTCTAGGCTTATTGTCTGGGTCTTACAATTACATTGGAATATATCCTGACAACATGCGTAGCCATAGCCCTCGATGCCCATTGTGGACACAGTCTTATTCCAGTGTCACTGTTAAATGGCTTTTTCACGGTGGTAGGTCCAATCTAAGACAAAATCAGCACTGGGGAAAACCTAGCAGAAACATTTTCATTACGACAGACCCAAGAAAGACAATTGGACAAAGGACATTCATGTTTGTTGTGCTCTAACCCAACAAAACTGCTGCTTCCCCACTCCTCTGTGACACGTCAAGTTGATTCACCCTTGGTCTGTGGACGCCATCTCGTTTTTAGGGATTCCAAGATTCTTCAGACTTTCATGTCTTCTTGAAAATGCATGACCAGATGGAAGACCGATTCGCCACAATGTTCGTATGTACAGGCTAGACTTTACAACAGATGTCACATAAAGTGCTTGACAGGTAAACGCAATTATAAAAGGGCATGAATAAGGAACTTTGATCCATCGTTATTAATGTTGTATTAGGCCTGTAGAATTTGAACTGAATTTTACTTGAGAAATACAATCTTCTGTCAGTTTAGTTTAATAATGTATGTCTCTGGTACAAGACCTGAAGTTGTACAGCCTAACCATCAATATATCCTTTACACATGTCAGTAAAGAATAGGTCCGCTGTCCAAACGTTTGTAAAAAAGCATGCAACTTATCCACAAGAACGAGTGATGTTTTGACCAAATGATGATACATGCAAAGTCAACCTACGTATGTAAGGGAAGGAAATGAACTTGACTATTGTAATCACTGGAGAACCATTTTTTGTAGAGGATGCACAATTCTTAAGAACACAGCACTCAGGACTGATTACCGCTATCAGGCAATGCTTCAGCTGCCATGCAATTACATGCATTTCATGCCAATGACAAGCCATAACAGATATGGTGCACAACAAATACAGTGTTAATTTTCATATTAAAATATCCAGTTTTGGGTGTTCCCGTTGATCCAATATGGCAGCCACTGAAGGGTTGTTGCTATGGGGAGAGCATGCAGGGATATCTACACAGCAAGACCTACTGATGAGATGCGAGTCACCACGACAACAGGGACAAAAAGATAGCACACTGCACCTGGTACCTCCACTAGAGGGCGGTAGACCTGGGCCACGGTAAGCTCCGGGAATTCCTCGCATGCGGAGTGTCACTCTTGGCAGTGGTCGAAGCGGTAACCTGTACCTTAGGAATGGCACCGGGGCTTACGATCGCAGGCCCCGGCGTAGGGCAACAGCTAGACTGCTGTGGGGAAGACTCATTGCTATCTAAACCATTGTTATTACAACTGTTGTGGTCGGATTTACTGTTGGCAAATTTGTGAAGGTACTGCTGCCAGTGGTAGACCGGTTTAATGATGGGTTTAGAATTCATGAGTTTTTCGGAGAACGGTTTCTGGGGTGGCAAGTCCATGGGCTCGGCGAAGCTGTTGCCACGTCCTGATAGGGAGTGAAGGAATGATGGTACGTTGGGGGAAGGGGAGAAGGGTGGGAGTATTAAAGATACAAAACAAAAATGTAACAGAGAAGCCGTATAGCAAATTTGAAGATCTGGTGAATCTATTTCATTGCTCATAGTGCTTATGGGCAATTCCATTGTCACAGACAATTACGGACATGCATTAAAATAAGAGGTGGTTGTACTTTGGGGGCTCAGAGAATTAAGCTGGAAATGCATTTCTCAAATCCTATACATCCATCATCTAGTAATGTTGGACGAGATTACAGACTAGGAGTTTGGGATCATTTCTCTCAATCATTAATTAGATATCATGCTTAACCAGTTCACGCCGGGATTATTTTGACAAGAACGGAATGAGGCGGGTTGAAACCATCACCCTCGGGCAGCACACTCATATTTCCGGCCTCGCTCGCTGCGAGCGGGGCGCTGACAGATATTTCTGGCCTCGCTCACTGCTTATTTATCCGTCATCCGTTCCGCATGCCGCAAAACCTCTGCGTGTATACAAGTCGTCCGGCGAGAACTGGTTAAACAGAATCACCTGCCAGAAAATATAATCTAAGCCATTTTTATAAAATTGTGCAAGGACGATAATTTTAAGTTTCTCAAAAACGTAAACTCATTATAGTTTAGGATTATCTTAAACTCTGCATATTGAAAAGAAATGCACTCACATCTCTGAAACAGCTCCATATGTTTTTCAGCCTAGAATGCAATATTTAAATGTACATGTAACCATTCATTTGATTTGCATGAAACCAAAATGCTTTACAAACCATTTTGCTATTATTGATGATAATGGGGGTAATAACAGAATTCAATGTCAAAATAAGACAGCCACAGCCATACAAAGCAGAGCCCAAACATAAGGAGTTTTTTATCAAGCTAATAGAGAATATTCTCAGCCTTTGATTGGATGGTTTGAGGAACAAGCAGCCAATAGGCAGCACGGTAGTAAGTAGTCGGGTGCATCTTCATTTTCCTCTTTTTTAATGTGTAATCCTCACTTGGAGTCCAGTCACAAGATGCTAATAATAATTAGCAAATTTCAAATTCAGCGAAACGGTTGTGAAACCACATTTTCAGTGCTTCGGCTTTTACAAAATTGGGTTCTAAAAATTTGGATATATTTCGAGACATGATTGAGCATGGATCACAATACTTTCAAGATTTTAACAAGCAAAAACATATTCCGAGAATATTCCCTATTAATCAGCGCTTTCAAAAATGCAAAATTAACAGTTCTTTTTATTTGCAAATCTCATTTTTTATTGGCCAACCCAAAAACAGATCAATTTCTTGGATTAACAAGAAAGAAATATATTTCATTTTCTCAGCCAGATTTAAATGCAGAAATAGCACTTCAAGATGTTTTGATTCTTCTTTTGTCTTTCGGAAAATGCACAAGTTGACTTACTGTGACGGTTGACGGTTTTGTCGCGATCCTTCCGAAACTTGAAGCTCTTGGTCTTTCGGACGAAGGATTTGCGAGCGTGGAGTGCGTTCTTCATGATCATCGGTTTGTTAGCATCTAGCTTGGCCTCCATTGCAATGTCCTCAAAGAATTCTGGTGAATGAAAATTAAAACAAAACAAAAAAGATGATTTTTCGATTAATGCGTCACATGTTTCTTATATTCAATCTGGATATCCTCACAATTCGAGCGATTCACAAAGCAGTGCGCCACCAAGAGTTTGCCATGGAGAGTTGATTTTTCAAGTTTACGGTCGACAAAACACAGCCCATTTGAATGAGTGTCAGCAGACAACTTGAGCTAATTTGTTATAGACTGGGGCATAGCGTTCTGCCGCCTTACAAAAAAACACCATATTGATAACAAGAAAAGAAAAGGGCAAACAGATACTCGAATCATACGCTTACGAACCTACTGACAGGAAAAACCAACAATTTCAAATGTTCCGCGCTGCAAATTTGTCGTCCATCTCCCACATTGCACTGGGAAAAATGAACTCTCCCAGGCAAACTCTTGGTGGCGCACTGCATTGTGAATCGCCTGAATTAAACCAACGATGGCTGAAATGCCTTGATTTGGGATGCAACGTCAGAAATTCACACATTACTGCCCGTTCATTGGCAATGAACTCCCATCAGTTCTCAGATTTGACCAAGAAAGGTAAGTTTCAGTTTTTTGGAATTTGGAGGGAAAAACTGAAAAACGATGGTCCAACTGGAGACCCGACCGACCAGTTAAGGATTGAATATAACTAAATAAATGGCAAGAATGGAAACAGGGACATTGGTCCCGAGTCCAGTTTCATGAAGCTGCTCAATAGAAAATACTGCTAAGCAATATTAAGCAGAACACCAGTCAACTGCAATTAGTGACGTGCATTTACAGGTAGTACAGGAACCGGGTACCCTATTGAAGTAAAACACGGATACCCGGGTATCCGTAAAAGAAACCCAACCCCAAAATTTTAATCCTGGAAGTTGTCTGAAGGGCTGTATAGCTTTAAGGTGTAAACTGCAACTTGCACGAGCGTCAACTGTCGTGCATTAAAATGCACATAAACGTGAAATCTGTTTTGGCTTTCCATGTAGCCTGGTTTTCATCTTAAAAATTCCCAACAATTAGCTCTCAAAATCTTTCGTTTTCATTGTCTGAGAAGTTACTAAGTAATTTGTAAAGTTGGTTGCGAGTACCAATCACATAATCTGGAACCTATTACTGACTTCAGCACTCGGGTACTTGGTTCCAATGCATACCCCTAATTGCAATATGTATTAAAGAGCATTTGTGGCTGGTAAGCTGTTTCTGCTCAGCACATTTTTCTGTGCTAAGCACAATTCTGTGCTTAGAGGCTCCACGAAGTTGAGTTAAAGGTGAGCAATCTGATTGTCCTTAAATAGCCAAACATATGTCGGATTTTCAGTAAATATAAACCTTACTTTTGAGGTGCGCCACATTGGTGAAGATTTCCACATCCAGCTCAGTGTCTCGTTTAGTGACTGGTTCTGGCCTGCTCTCCTTCAAGGCTTTATCTAATCTGGCCAGAGAATCCTCCGCATTCTTGAGTCGTCGCTCTGCATCACGACGAGCGATGATTTCCTCACGCAGCTCCGACTCGGTCATTTCTTTCTGAACAGTCAGGTCCTGTATATAAGGCCAGAAGGATGAATATTATTCTCACCTCTGGACTGGTGCCCATTCCCTCCCCTTTTCACTGCTGAGAATATGACAGGGGACCAGGAAGGAGTGTCGAAATAGTCACTGAGATCTATGACTCAAGTCAAAAGAAGTCATTACGAGGCAGAGACTTGAGTCAAGTCTTAAGTGTGGTCCTGTCAAGTTGAGTCAAATTCTTGCTCAAGTCAAAATGATCTTTTAGATGTCACTTTATTTACGATTACAAACTGAAACTGGGTTAGATATCAGCATTTCTTTTTGCTGTAAGTAGTCATAGCAATTTATATCAGTTTATATCAGATTTGATGAGCCATTGACTTGAGTTGACATTATTGCTGCAAACTTGCAGTTGAGTCATTTGCTCCCAGTGACTCAACTCAAGTTGAGTCATTTATCCGTAATGTTGCAAGTCAAGTTAACTCACTGAAAATCGCAACTCGAGTCAGACTTGCATCTGGTCAATGACTCGACTCATTTCAACTCTGCTAGGAAGCAGCCTATCACAATTAACCTTACTTTTCTGCTGATGTATCGGTTCGCAAATGCAAATGCAAAGGAACAATTCAGAGCTACTTTGCTCGAGGAACAATGGCTAGGGGGTGTGCAAAATCGAATTAAAATTGGAGGATTCAGGACTGTCAGGGCTAGCCTTTATCTTGAGCTTGCATGCAGCAACTAATAACCAGCAATACGCCCAAACCTTAGTGGGCTGGTCCGAAATAGTCCCCTAGACTAGTCCAACCATCTTCAACTAGTGTGCGTTTGATGAAAGTTAATCAAACTATGGTTAACCATTCTTGATCTAACCTACTCCTATCCAGACCAGCAATTAAGAAGCATGGTTACAATTACAAGTTCCTGTCAGCATTAAGTATGAACAAGGCTTTATGCTAGTGTTGTGCATCAGGTGGGGTTGACCAAGCCAAACCGATCCAAAACAATAAAGATATAAACCAAATCCTAACCGAAACCGATCTGAACCCCCTAAAACCTACCCGACCCGACAAAAAGGAAAACAGACCCGAAAACGAACCAAAAAAAAAAACCCCGAATATCTGGCTTGGGAAACTGCGTCCGCTTTTTGTGCCTGAATTTACCCGCGTCGCGTGAAAATCGTCGTCTCTCAGTAACTGAATCATACCATATGTTAATCACCACTTGACCTCCTGCAGGTCCTACATGTTATAGACCGTGTGTGATAGACCGCGAACCATTTTGGTCGTACCAGGCACAATGACTCTGCAATAAATATTGTACCGTGTGAATTTCCGAACTGTTTCAGGTTGGTTTTTTTTCCTGTTTATTTCGGGTTTTTTCCAAAACAATGGACAAACCGACCCGACCCGACCCGACCCGACCCGACCAAAAGTGGGTTTCGGGTTGGGTCGGTTTGGGGGTCGGGTTTGCACAACACTACCTTACGCTATACAACACCCAGCTAATTTCAACCATGAAACTCACAATACTTGGTTTACTGAAAGCAAAGTGTCCCAACTTTTGTTCAGAGTTTGAGTTTAACCTATTCTCTTGCTTTAAAGACTATCCAATACTTACATGTAATGAGGACTCCAGCTCCTGTGCTTGTATACTGAAGGATTTCTTCTCCTCTGCTAAAACTGCTGCTTCTTTCTCTTTGTCTAACAATCTGTTGGGATGCCAAGATATTCAATACTTTAGCCCACAACATAATGGAAGAGTTTAACAGAAGTGCAATAATGCAAACAATGATGGATACACGAGAAATAAAGACATTGGAATGAATTTTGTGGTTCTGTAAGTTATGCAGGTTTATGACGGACAAAGTTTCTCAAATCTTGTGATGTACAGTAACCCAATGACACATTCTGTGCGATAATTTTGCTGTAACTTTCTAAACCTTGTACAATCTTGAAAACCTTTTGGAAAGGGATGAACAGAAATAATTCACATTGCAGTGCGCCACCTAGAGATTACCACGGAGAGACGCTCTTTTGCAGAATAATTTGGATAAAACAGTTGCCAAATACGCACTCAGCAACATTTCCTTTTGCACAAGGGCAAGACAATTTTTACAATTTTGGACCTTGGTGTGTACCTTAGGTTGGATTTTTTTGGGGTGTAAATTACGATGACTTTTTGTGTGCTGTCGCACATAAACAATGAAGAACAGATTAATTAATTAAATAAGATGGAATGAAGAGCAGATGATTAACTACCAGTACAGGATATCATATTAGGAAAGCAGGCTGTAAATTTGAGACATCTTCAAGCTAATGTGTGGCTGATGTTTGCTTGGAATTTCCTGGGTCGCACTGCCAAAGTTCCCACGACAGCAGTTGATTTATCATGTTAATAGCAACCTCAACTGCTGTGGCAGCTTTACTGTGCTTGTCTGGGATACGCTGCAAGACCATAAAGCACCGTGCGCAGTAGGTAGAAAGCACGCCTTCAAAGCTGTGATGAATGGCAAAAACTGTCAGAAAAAAATGTGGCGCCAACTCCCAGTGCTGGGTCTGCACGATTATTGACAACCATACACAGCACAGGGAGTGATCATTATGCCATTTGGTAAAAGATTTGCAAATAGTTTACGTGAAAATAAGCCCTACTACCTAGTTTACATTGCACGACGTGGTTGCTAACCAAACGCATGCCTACTGACCTCTCATTAATCTGATGCAGTTCATGTTGCAACGTGTTAGTCTTATCTTCAATCAGTTTGAGATTGTTTTTCAGGGTAGAGGTCTCAGACGACAGGGATTGGTTTTCACTGGTCAGTTTCTGCATGGTGTCCTCTCGTGTTTCCAGCTGGGCCATAGTCTTTGCACGCTCCAAGGCTAATATCTGCAAGACAATCCAATAATAGGAATAATCAATCGACATATTTAAAAGGTGCACATTTAGAGAAACGTGTTTACCACAACGGTTCACACAAGTATACCTTGGAAGTTTACTGCTTTTGTGTTAATTGCCACGCAAAGGAATTTTGGGGTAGAAAATTCTAGAGAAGCTAGAGTGGGACCTAATATCATCCCATACTAGATCTCACAGTATTCAAATTGAACACATTTGATGTGGTGCCAGTCTTTTATAGAAAGTCTGGCTCAATACTTGAGGCATGAGACATGTATTGTCGAGGCAAAAAAAACCTGCTGCTTCAGATGTAAACAAATAGGATTTTCCAGCGTTTTTCTCCGTTAATGTAAAACATCATGTGGATTGCCTATGATCCAGACCACTGAAATAAGGTAAGTAAACAATCTACCGGTACATAAACAACATCAATTTGAAGCAAAATATGGACAAATGTGTTCCTTTTAATTATTGAAGTGAGACTGAGAAAACACTTTTACTGGAAAAAAATACAGGCCCATTTATAACAGGGCAGTGTGGTCTAGTGGTTAGGGTTTGTGATTCATGATCAGAGGGTCAGGGGTTTGAATCCAGCTGCTGGTTATACACTGTGTCCTTGGGCAAGCCACTTCACCCCCACTTGCCTCTCTCCACCCAGGAGTATAAATGGATACCGGCATTGGCTGGGGAATATCATGTGATAGACTGGCATCCCATCCAGAAAAAAGGACATTCTCAGTCTTCCTCCCCCTCCCCCCCTCCTTCCCCTGCCCAATTAAAAAAAAAATGAGAATTGCCAACACGCCCAAATCTAACAAGATGCAATCAAAAAGCAAAATTTACAGGTTTACTCGGGTGGGACTCGAACCCACAATCTCATTGCTTACTAATGCAAATGTGCTAATCACTTGACCTCCTACAAATATAGCTTTCCGGTGTCAGCTAGATGGTTCCAATTGGAAGTAACATGATGACACTGTGACCGAGACCACAATCCATATCGTGTATGATGGAATGGTGTATCACGATTACCAAATCCTAGTCTCTGGGATGCACAGGACATCATCAATTTAGCTCAGCTAATTGTTTTTGACTGAGTGCCACCTCAAATTTGCCTGGATTTGCAAGATTTTAGTGGATTTTGCAGGATTTTAATGGATTTAGTACTGCAGAGTTCAGGAACCATTAACAGGTTTGGTTTCCCAATTTTGTTCAGGTACTAAAAATGGGCAACTGGTGTACTTCTACGATGTGTTGTTTTGCAAGTTTGTGGAAGGTCCCTAACCTCAAGCAATGCCTAGGGGCCCACGTTATTGATCATTTCCAGGTTTAACAAATGACAAACAACCTGTCACATGCAGACTTAAATGAGTCCCTTGGTGATTCGTCAGATATTAAGGTATCAATTAAAGTAATCCTGTGGGGTTTTCAGAGTTTTATTTCAGACAATCCCCAAAAATAGTCTGGGAAAAACAACTATGAGTAAAGTCTACAGGCAATAAGCAGCTATCATGTCAGAAATCTTTCTGAATGTCTTAGTGTATTTAGAGGAGTTGACATTTCAGAAATCCAAAATCCCCTTCAGGAGTCAGAGTTAGTGAGTTGTGTGAGGGAGGGGGCGGAATACCAGCTATGGCAGCATGGGATTATGTAGATTCCATGGAGTTTGATATGAGCCAGGAAGGAGCCGGTGATTATATCTGACCTTTAAGATGATAGCCTCTTTGTACCAGCATTAAAATTGAAGGACAATAGATCTGAATCAACCAAAAAATATTTCAAATCTCTGAAAATCTTGACATGAGTTTGAGCAACAGTGTAACTCTAATGCAAGGATATGGATGCGAACTAACTATCCTTTATATACTCAATCAAAAGAATACAGTTGACATTAGATAGATTTTTGTGGGAATGTAATCTTTAGGCCAAAAAAAAAAAGTTTCTGGTATGCGCACGCGTCGCCGTAGCCGTGCGCGTCGGCAAAATGAAAAAGTTTTTTTTTCAATGAAAGATGATGTCTCAAAACCGTCACTGGTTTGACTGGAATCCTGCTGCTGCACAATTTTAACGTGTTTTTAGATGGGGTTATGATCGAGAATAAGCTTTATGTGGCCTCTCTGGACTCCCATATATTTGCACTAAGTTTAATCGGGCACCATTTGCAGTCATCAGCCGACATTTGAAGCAAAAAAGTCAGGTAAAAAAAAAAAAAAGCCGCGTCGCCGCACCACTTTTTGGGCAAGCTCCATACCAGAAACCGGAGACTTTTTTTTTTTGGCCTTATCTTGATTGTTTTTTACAAAACCTGCAAAAACAAATTGAAGCACTAACTGCTAGGAGGTTTTTGAGAGCTTGTCAAACAAAATTTGGGTTGGAATAGAACCCTATTTACAAGTTCAAATCAAATATCAATCAAATAAAAGTTACTTGAACCATTCAATATTTTTCATATTGAAGCAAAAGCTTTCATAGCAAAGGCAACTTGAATGGCAAGGGTCGAGTGCACAACGGCAGAAACACTGACTTCAGTTCAAGGTTACATTGGCCAATGTTAGCGACTCGTAGGGTTATCTGTGCCCGACAGATGTAGAGCCTCACTTGCCAATTTCTCAACGTTTTCCTGTTATTGGAATCTTGTCAACTATTTCTGGAAAATGTTTCTATTTCAAAGGTCTGAAAACAAAAGAGTTACTTGAATTAGCAACAACCCATGTTCCTCCCCCAAATGCCAAAATAAGCTGAATTAAATTACATCTGCATCCTGTGTTAGTTCCTTCTGACCTGATTGTTATTTTCAACCAATGTTTTTGATGTGTGAACATGTCAAGCATTATAAATAGCCTTTTCCACATGAGCCAGTGTTCACCTACAGTGTGTCCCAAACAGACAAGGCTCTTGGGAGCGGTCATAAAGGACAATTTACTGTTCATAAATGGATTTTATAACACCTCACCCACAGATTCTGTGTCTTGATTGGCCGAGAACGAGTCACATGGCACTTTCTATTTTTGCTATCTTTCAGTGCATGGCCAAAAGTACCATACCCGTAGCATCCAAAGTACTATATGCACTGTGTGCAAAATGCATAGGGGTGCATGTGTTGTGCGTTGCGCGTATTGTTTCCAAGCGCGAGCGCTACAGAGCTGGGTTCAAACATTTCGTGAAGGGGTAGTTAATTTCGGATTCAAATAGAAGTAAATTTTTATTGTATTCAGATTAAATTATCAGTTATCACTTAAATCAAGCAGAATCTGTGGGAGAGGTGTTATAAAACAAATACTGACTGCTTTATCTCGTGGTGTAGTAAAACTAGCCTCCCTCAGTGATCCATGGAGCATTCTATTTTCCCTCGGCTTTCATGGATCACCTCGGGAGGCTAGCTTTACTACACCACTCGAAGCAGTCAATATTTGTATATTATTGACTCATAAATAGAAGCCTTTTTGAGGTGGAACAAGGTTCACGCTCAGGTAGTATACACACACACTCCGCCCTCCTTTGACCAATAGTGTTACCAAAAAGCAAGAGCGCCTTGTCACTAAGAACACGTGCAGTGTGCACACAAAGTATGTTCCACCTCAAAAATGGCAAATTTTGCTCGCCGAATTTGTCAATCCACCACACTAGTCAGTCAATCAGGCTGTGCTTGTCTTATAACCAATCACATTTGTACCTCTAGATCAGACTGGAAGTCAACAGACGCTCTCGTCAGATGTTCTTGGTCCTTAGCCACCTGTTGCATTGCTGCCGTCGTTTCCTCCAACTCCCTGCAAATGATTCAATATCCATCATAATAATTAATGTTCTCAGTAGCCGGTGAGATTGCTAATAACTTGCCAAAAAGCATGTGCAAGTCCCGCCAGTTAGTGAACGTCCTGGTACCAAACACTGATTAATTAACCTGTTTAATTGTGTAACTGACCAATAATACACACAAAAAACTGATCATTTCTGGGGAGTTTTCCCACCTCTAAATCTGTAATTTCTTCTCATTGTCTCCTCTCTACAGGTTTCTTCAGGCTTTTAAGCTACAGTGCCCAGGGCACTTTTGAGGAAGGTGGGCAGGACATTTGGCCTTTTGTCTGAGTTTGCACTCATGAATATTCATCTTACATTTTGGTCCGTTCATGCTCATCCAGTAGTTCTCTGGCCGTTTCTTCAATCTTTCTCTTCTCTTCCTCCAACTCGGCAGTCAATCTTTCCAGATCCTAAGAACAGAAGAAAAAAAAATTAGTAAAAGACCACGTGAAAGATAAGGGTAAAATGATGAGGGGATAATATATAACTGCTCAATCATACTATAGTATAATCCCCACATAAAAACCCATAAAAAGTCAAAAAAAGTTAACCAAACGTCCAATGATTTTGTTCTACTATTTTACTCCATGTTCAGACTGCTTCTATGGCATGTGTCTCCCTGCCTGCGCAGGCACACACTTGACACTTTTTATGATGCATTAAGTGTCATTGGATACTAATGTATGGTTAATATCATGACCTTAAGATTTCACACAAATTGTGACTTCTTTGTTGGTTTGTATTTTGTGTGAAGGGGTAAGGTATGGAAAAATTCACCATTGCTATTTAATAATAAGACTTGGAAGGCTTAGTCTGTGGAATAGATGCTTGCAGGGCAAGTTATATGCATGCAGATTATGCAGAACAAGACTGCCCCTTGACCTCCAGGATTTGACCATTCAGCGGGCGCCTTCTATCTTGTCTTCAGTAACCAAATGTTGTACAAGAAAAACATGACGGTTATTGACCAATCAACAGCTTTGTCCGAATTTCTGCTCTTATTGACATCGCAACCTCTAAAGGCAGCCCCGTTTGGCTGTCCCGCGGGGTCGCATAAAATGTGCATGCTTGGATATGAGACATTGTAGTGTGGCTCTGCACACATGAACGTCTGATCCACGAACTTGGAAGGCTCTGCTCCATATACATCAATATCTCAATCTCATGATGTTAAACTAATACAGGTCTTTTTCATGTGGCAGATCAAACTAAAAAATATTTTTTTAAAGAGTAAAAAAATGGCTGCCGAGATTTTCCCCCAACATGTATTTTTTTGAAAATATGGTCTCACAAATCTTACAAAACAACTGTATTGCACAGGAATTACTGTGTTCGACTCATGTGTCAGAGAACATGGTGTTGGTGTTCTTGGGCAAGACAATTGCCTCTCTCCACCCAGGAGTATAAATGAGTACCTGTGAAGGTAGAAAACAGATTGCGCTGATCTCGAGCTGCTGCAAAAACTGGTCTCATGGCCTGATGAAAAGGGTAATAATTGTGAAGCACTTTGAGACGTTTGGTATAAAGTGCTATAAAAGCACCACATTATTATTATTATTATATGCTCTGTTATTACTCATTTTAGTGTTTCATTTCACAATGTCTCGAAGGACAGCTCAAGGAACCACATCTATCTAAGCATATAGTTCCAATTTAACAGTGACGTAACATTTCCAGGCTAAAAGATAATGTTGTACATTCACATTCGCACGATGGGATGTCTAGACTTAGTTCATGTCATCATGTGCAAAGAGAGACAAGAGACCGATGTGCTGCACTGAACTTGCTGAGGGAAGGTTGAAGTTATTTTTAGGCAAAAATACAAGTTGGCAAACAACATCTTCAAGACTTGCGGTATATCTGTCAGGAAGTTTAACTCAACCACAGTGTATGACATAAATAACTGGTCCATTTTCAGAAAAGTGACACAAACTCTGTGTCTAGAGCTTTAATGATGGATTATCAGAGGATGCATCTACGGGATGCCTATGTGTCAGACTTGCAGGAAATCCTCCATTTAGGGGGGAGGGGAGAATGACTAATGATGCCCAGGAAGGAGCAGAATGGATTTCAAACAAGAATAAATTATTCGCATCAAAATTTGGGAGGGAAAATCACTGATGTGCCTTTAAATCGATGTTGAACCGTTAAAGGCATAGGATCATTTGCTTTTCATACATTTTGTTTGTTTCCAATAATAACATCACTCAATTTTCAAATAAGAATGTCAAAACCTAACCTGCTGAACTTTCAGCTCAGTGGATATATAGTTTTTGAGAAAACAGTGAAAAACCATGCACAGCCGTTTGATCACGAAACACAATTTCGGCTGTAGAACTCTCTTTTTCCAATGATCAGTCAATTGACTAATCGTTGGAATTCATCTACATTTCTTGATTTATTCACAATGACAGCAACCCAGACTGAACAATTTCCAGGGAGTTTAGTACCAAGTTCATGAAGTTAGTTAATCCAAGTAAGCTTTTTTTTTAATAAATAATAAGTTTGGCAGGTTACATGTGAGATAAATGCAAATGATATGCCTTGAAGTTACATCGAGTATTCAGAGCTTTGTAAATGAGTTTGATATTGAGTTTTTTCCTGATGAAAACTTGGTACACAAGCTTTTGTTTTGGTCAACAATATTCCTATATTTGGGCAGTGAAGAGGCAATGTGGCATCAATATAAAAAACAAATACGAGAGTACGAGTATTAAGAAAAAATCAATTCCAGTGATTAACAATACAGAAATGCTGGCTTACTAGAATGCATCATGGCAAAAAGCTGACGTCAGTTTTATGAAGTTGAAATCACCTTTATCAGGGAACAACTTCATGCAACTGTTAAGCATAGAAATTACTGCTTAGTAAAAACAGGTCAGCTGCCGTTCCATGCAATGAACACTAACACCGCATAAAACTGTTTGTCAGTTGATACAATATTTGCACAATATTCTCTGCATAGGAACTCCATGAAATCAAGCCCAGAACTGGCATAGCCCTTGTGTGAATTCGTTGGCTATGACTAGCAATAACACATGCACCAATGGAAACGGCTAAATCCACTTCCCATTCACACATGTAATACTGCTAGCCTCAGCCAGATAAATCAACCTCAGCCATAGTGTGCAGCCTGTAAGTAAGCCTAAGGCAGCCCCTAGAGGACACACTTCCATGCACATTTGGTACAACTGTTCCTATGGTCTCACCTCATTCTTATCCATCTCATCACGTAGTGCCATGGCCTCTAGATGCCACTGTTCTCGGTATCTTTGGCTGTCCCTTGCTAACTCCAGACTCTGTTGCTCTAATGTCTGAATCATGGTCTCTCCCAGCTCGGCATTCCTCCATGTTCTGTTTCATAATCAATCATTTGCTATTACTTACAAAGGTCATGTTTTTTTCACAGGGGGTAAATAACATGGTCCAGTATCAATAAAAATAAAATTGCAAGAATGATGATCATTAGGACAAAGTTTCTAGCTTTACCATCCTGAGCCCATAAATATTTCGATCATTTGATGATTGACTAGTTCGTTACTTAAGGCCAAGTAAAAAAAAAAAAAACTAGTTTCTCAAACCCACCCACTTTCTTTTTCCCATTCGCCACCTTTTTTTTATTTCCTGGTTTTTTTTTAGACATACGTTTGCAATATATTTTGTCTTTTTATTTGTTTTCCAGCAAAACTGTAGCTGTGTATGCAAGTTCAAAGTCTGCTAGAAAGGGTGACGGCCCCTTTGAAGATTCCATCTATCGTCTTCAAAAATCTGCCATCTTAGGGAAGAAACAAAAAGGGCCTAATCCTTCCTTTTTTTTAAAACAGCGCAGAAAAGAAACTTTTTTTTTTTTTACTTGGCCTAATCTGGTCGGATTTGGAGATTTGCGGCAAATGGATAGAATTTACACCCAATAGTTCTCTAAACAGCAAGTGCATGCTGGGAGATCTACATGCTCAATGCCTGCACATAATTCGGTGAATTTTTATCGTATTTTTGAGTAAATTTTTGGTCTGAGTAAAGTCCTGAAATATGTAGCTGCACTCCTAAGTAAATCCTTTTATTCATTGATGCCTTCAAAGGAGAGTTTGTCATTCACTGAAGGTTTTTGGTAACATTACTGAAAAATATCTCTTGGAGTTGTTGAGTGATTCTGTGAAGAAGAAAAAACAGAGTACATTGATCCAAACATCCAATGTTTACCTACTGGTTCTTTTCATACCCATTTTCATTCAATTCAGTTTACTCCGTCAAACTGCAAAATCTCTTTTCTTCATATGGGCTCCGTGCGCAAGTACCCCCTCAACGGTAAGAAAGGGAGAGTTGGGGGAGACCACTGGGAGAGACATTCTAACGCACTGCTGATGATGCCTGATGCTCACGCAAAGATAACATGGCTTTGTGCACAATTAGAATAAACTTAGTTGTGCGTACTTCACGCTACATGCAAGCGAACCAGTACACACACACGGTGCATCCTGTCCACTAGGCTCTCATAGTGGTCAAAAAGCGCCCTCTCTTGTTCGATTGGAGTCATATCATGCACATGATGTGTTCACACATACTGAAATTTGTATCCTTGTGGAGACATTTCTTTGTTCTCGTGTAGTAAAGTTTTCGAGTTTGAAAGTGAAGTTTCAAAATGCTCTTATTTTAACCAGAATTAATTTCCTTGGCTGAAATTCGGACTTAATATCCCTTTTCTAAAACTCTTCCATTTGCGACAGATCAACCCACCTTGGAAATTCCTAGTTTTTGAGTAAAATCCATACATTTATTTCGTGAAAATCTTGTGGAGACGTATTCATCTATAGAAATGGTCCTGTGGAGACGTATACAATCTTTTGTTCCCTATTGTACACACGTCTCCAGAGGGCACAGTATATCAGATCATTGGTGCACATTCGACCTTTTGCGAACACAAGTTTATGACGGTACATGTACTTACACTCGACTTGACTTTCTCATCACTTCCATCCATTTTTCCCGTTCATTCTCCGAGTCGGTAGCGATGAAAATTGACCCCTAAGAAGAATGAAATAATCAGTCATTATAATTCATTAACCCTAACTCCCTAGGGGGTATGCAAAATCGTATTAAAATTAGAGGATTCAGGACTGTTAGGGATAGATCAATTGATCTTCACATAGTTGCATTGTAACAGTCAGTGTCCCTTTGTGGTTTATTAGAAAATTGGAAATACAAAGTCTTCTCTGAGTGATCCCTGTTTGCTAGTTCCCAGGTTTGCAGCATTAATGTTGCTAGCCTCGTGTATGAGTGACTTTGTGCAACAAATCCCTGGCTATATTAGTGTATGGCTTCTGACTAGCGCTCCTCGAACAAAGACATTGACAAAATGGGGAACTGCCAACATAGAGCTGCATAGCTCAGTTGGTAGAGCACCGGAACAGCAATCCGGAGATGGCAGGTTCAAACCCAACTCCAGTCAATTTCTTTTTTTAAACTTTAAAATTATAAAACAAAAAAATCTTGACATCACAAGAGCTAATACATTGTGTTTGCATCATGAAAAAAGGTGAGAGTTGTTATTTAACAATACCTTAACATGTGATGTACATGTAAGTGTCAATTGTATACATGGTTTATGATATTTGCAAAACTCTAGCATTGTTTTACAGACAAAATGCTATATTCTACTGATTTCCCTAACACATACACATGTATCACATCTTGCCAGACTGTGTCGATTGGGGAAAACTGGGAAACGTTATTTCGAAAGCTGTCTGCCATGAACTTCAAATTATGGGTCAAGGATACGAATCTGATACTGGAAAAGTACAAATTGAGCAATTGAGACCTTAAAATTTAACTGCAGAGAAAAAGGAATTTCATGATGGGTGTAATATTTACCGTATCACTGAACATTGAAATCTCTAATAAAAATGGCACTGCATGCATGATTGAATAACGCAGAAAATCACGTGTATCAAACGAGGCAGAAGGGTTCACCTCAATCATTTTAATCTTTAAAAAAAATCCACTTGTACACTTGTTCAACGCCCTCGTATTTCGCAACCTACATGTATGACGTACTTCACAACTAGGGGAAAAAAATTGAACCAATGAGTGACTATGATGCAACATGCTTCATTTGGTTACACGTACAGACTCTTTTTAGGTGGGTCTTTTGTAGCACGAGGTTATGTCCCTGTGTGACACCATGCATGGGTGGGTAGCACAATCCAATCAAGGTTACTGGGGTTAACAAATAATCACTGATTTTCCAAGCATGCATACACATGTATAAGAGAACTGTACAGTCAGTTGGAAGGTGCATATATTCACTAAAACCAAGCTATCGATAGTGTCAGACAACTTTGTTTGTCTTCAAGAAAATTACTACCAACCAACTTTGTAGGAAAAACAGCACGCACGTGTAATAAGTCCCAGTTTATCTATTACTGATAAACAAAAAAAAAGCTTCTTTTTTTGTTACAAATTTAAAGTTGGCTAAAATGAGAACCAGTTACAATTTGCAGTGAATTGTTACCAATATGTTTATGATGTACTTTACGATGTTTGTGATGTACCGGTACACTTTACAAATGTATGTATATTCTTTTATAATAGCTTTCTTGGTTAGAATTTCAAACAAATGGATATTTTACTTACTTGGACCTCGTCATGATCGATGCGTATTGCCCACATCTTGATCGGGTCAGTAGTAGGAGTTACAAGAGCTCCACCCAGAGGTATAACACCCTGCATGGACATAGAAAAGAACACAGCTTCAAGCTCAATACTATAAACTCAGTCATAATGTCGTCTGAGGGCTTGCAAGGAAAACTCCACAAGCTTCGTGAGCGAGTCGTCTGCTTTGCAAAGATCAACTCTTATACAATAATGAAAGATCAATTCCTGAACATACATGTACACACAACACACACGTACACTTTTACAGTACAGCAGTGATGTCTATACCACTCGAAAAATATTTTCTGCCTTGGTTGTCAAAAGTGCATGGATGTTTAGAAGGTGTCAGTGTGAGATTAAAATATGTAAATGCTTCATGGTTTTAATAGACCAATCCCTGCACAGTATAAATTCTATCACGGAGGCCCCCTTCAATGGTGAAAGCATTGTGCTAGCTATTGTTCAGATAATCCACCACAGGCAGTTGCTTGGTACAAAAGCATGTGCAATGGTTTCTCCATTGAAGGGGGCCTCATAAGTGAACAGTGATCACATGCTCGAATTCGTCTTGCGAGTATGAACAAGAGAGTACAGTCACGACAGTAGATGATCAAGTAGGCCCCCATACCTTTATTCATGGTTTAACACAATAAATTATCAAACAAATCCATAATATTTCTTAAAGACATACAACGATGTCTCTTCTCCATTTCCTTACTGTTTTTATTGAAGATACCGGTAGTATGGATACATGCACATGTGTACTCGTAAGTATGTATACATGTGCATCTGTATCTGCTACATAGTACATTACATGTACACATGTTTTGTCTGATGATTTGCACAATGTATGGTCCAATCACTATACATTTATAGGCAAAGATTTAATTAAGAAACTTTGTCACTATGCAGCCTGTACACATGTACCGGTACCTAAACTGTATACTAGTACACTGTAGCTTTGACTGAACCTTGGACATGAAGAATCAAAATTGATTATCTTTTTTGTGTGTGTTAAAGGGAATATACATCATTTGCTTTTGCTGTAATTTTCAGAAATGGATGGAATTGGGGGGTTGGAAATATAAAGCAAATATAGTTACAATGACTTTTTGGAGGTTTTGGGTTCGAAAATGCTATAAAAATCAAGAAAAACGATCATTTTCCTATAGTCTGGTTCCCTGACTCCATATAAGAAGAAACAGAGCAGTTTACATACATTGGGGAATTGTAAGGTCAGGGAACCAGTCTAGCTGGCTCGTACCCGTTCATAGGTTTGTAATCGATTGCAAACAAGTGCAATGGTCAATTGGGGCCAGTATTTGAAAAAAAGCCAGTTGTTTCCAACGCTGATCGGCCGATCAGCGTTGGAAATTGATACAAAAATACCACTTTTCTTGAAAATGACAGTATACCAGGTGCCATAATTTTACAGGATGCTTTAGAATGTCATTTACCAACATCCTATTAAGGTATTTCGCAAAAACTTGGTAGTTTTATTTTTCGATGTTTGCAAATGTTGTATATTCCCTTTAAGGCGCACGAATTTGAATATTTTCTTTTTTCTTCTTGATGTTCAGAAGATGTGCGGTAAATTGCAGCTGCTCAGTGAGAGTCAGATTAGCATCAGCCATCCGGTCAGGAGGATCGATGGGACTACGAGAGATTGCAAGCTGATGTTTAATTGCTCTCAGTTTGATGCTAAGAAATTATCCACATTAGCATCTGGTAATGCACCAGTATCTCATTTGTGCAGATTTTGAGCTGAGGAAACATAGCGTGTCATCGGCAGTTCAAATTTTTTTTTTTCACCTGTGATGTGTGAAAGGCCGAGGCCAAAAAAAAATCCTTTAACACAAGAGACAAAAGGCTATTTTTTTCATCATTTTGATTATTTTTGTTCAGTTGGCAGTACACTCTGTGAGAAAATTGGCTTTCAAAAATTCCATCTACACCGAGTTAACTACATAGTTGTTAGTGTAGATGGCATTTTTGGAAAGTCAATTTTCAGATACCACAGTCCACATGACATATGTACATGTATCGCAGCAAAACTGTAGGACATTTAGTATTTTAAACCCAGACTTACCGGTAGTACATCTAGAACACACAGCATGTATCTAGGCTTTATATAGCATGAGTTTATAAAACAAAAAATTGTTTGCATATTTTTCTTGTAAATATTTTGACACAGTACATACTATACATGTACTGTGTATGTGTAATGGCACTGCTATATATTTTTAAGAATTTCCCAATAATTGTGAGTTTGTAAGTCCAGACTACAGTCAAAAGGTTGTTAGCTTTTCACCTACATGTCTACCTGTAGATTGTGAATTTCTGCTATTACTCAAATCTAAAATACATGAAAATGCACCTGACATGTCACATTTACTCAATTCATGCGACATTATAATGAAAACACTGTCAAATGCGAAACTTTTCTGTTGCAATTTCATATGCTTTTAATTAAGGAGAAAATATTGCACAAGAAAGTTTTTTATGCAAACCACTCTGGCAAACTTTTCAAACTGAACTGAACACGGAAATCCATGGCATCAATGTTGCGATTGACCTCACAAAAGATCTACACGTACCCTGTAACTCCCCAACCTTTTCAAAGACATGCATTTACATGAAGCAAGCGCCTTTCAGAGTTTGTATTTTATTTTCTTCACAAGCATAGTTCCGTCTTTCACAGCTCTCTGAACACCACTATACTAGTGACACGAGGGACCCGTGCTTGATTCATAACTTCCTGGCATTAGAACCAGTCCGCTATCAGGAACATGCATTTCTTGATGAACGTTTCCTTATGCCTACAAGATACGCTGGACAAACAAGCTTGAAAATAAACACGGCTGAAACTTTCGAATGACTGGAACTTTGAGACTTCTCAAATCATTTAAAGAAGCAAATTTGCATTTTGAGATTTTTTTCCCTTCGGAAGGTTCTGACCCTCCTGTTTTTCGTCAAGATTTGTTCAACTGAAGTAATCAATGTTCTGGGATGATTCGGTCGGATCATAGAACGTGATACTGCTCTGTTAAATTGAGTAACTACAATGCAGTCATTCAGTCTGCTTCTTTGCAATGAGTTAAAACCGGTTACATGAAAAATGTACTTGAAAGTTGACTAAACTTTTAATTTTTTTGTCATGAAGTTTATACATTATAATTTTTTATGAACAGATTTAGAATCTAACATTTTGTTTGCTGGGTACACTGAACGACATTCCATTAAAGCAAACATTACCGATATTTCCAATCTTTTTGTGCGTATGGGCAATTGCTTGTGCAAACGTTTGCATTGTTCGCTTTACGTGGAACACGCCCCTGATTATAAACCCAAGTATTCATCCCTGTAGCTCCCACAAGATACTGAAACAAAATGGAGTATAGGCCTACATATAGTACATGTATGTTTCCTCATGTTGTTGACTAATTCAATTCGGACATGAAAGCTCTCACATCCTGCTTGCAAATAAACGTGACATCTTGTAGGAAAACAAGGTTCCTTTTAAGGGAATAGCTTTTGTGTGAAAGTGAAAAGCGCTTGTGTAAATGTTAGCCAAATCAAACAAACACCTGTACATGTGCATGGATGTATACATTGTACCGTAAATAGAAACACTTTGTACAATTTTGGTTTCTTGTCAAGTGACAGTCAGAGATGACAGGTGGTTTGGGCAAATTCAGACATGGACATGTCGTCAGAAAAGCATTCTTCTAAGTTTGAACCGTGAAAGTTTCAACTGTTAAAATGTCTAGGCTAATCAACCGTCCCGCGTCTTCCATGTCGAGTGAACAAGACTGTCGAGTTGATTGTATTGTTACATGCCACATGACATGTGCCAAGTTAAAAAAAAAATTAAAACATCATACTGTAACCAAAATATGGTTCAGGATTTATGCTTATCTTTTGGTTTCAAATATACATATACGTATATGAACATGTTTATTTTATGTTTTCTCTCAATCGTGTGAACATTTATGTGTAAAGAAACTTCCCTGTTTATGAACATGCCAACTTCCTTTACCCTAACTCCCTACTAAAGAACAGTACCAAGTCTGCCTTAATCCATCACTGACTCTGCTTCAGGACAAAATCCACAAATCCACCACTGCGTAAATTTTGATGAACTTGATACTCATGGCTTGCCTACCAAAATCTCCCGAAATGGGGGGGGGTGGGGTTTTTATTACAAATGTATGATTTAAAAAAATTAAAAATTACAAACGAGATGGCAGAAAAAAAAGAAGCAGGCAGGGACGAGAAACTGGTTTCTTTTTTTACTTGGCCTAACTGTTCAAATGACCACTTGTTCATTTTGCACTTTGACTTTGTGTCATGTTGAGAATCCATTTCTGCATACAGAAAAGAGATCATCTATCTGACGCCCTACCACAAACTTGACCTTCTGATGAGGTCACCACACACACTGAAAACTCTCTATTTTTTAACCGAGAAAGAGGCCGAAAACACTTTTATGGCCTGTTTTACAAATCAACAGAAAAAGGATTATGAAGTATCACATGGTATGATAAAAATATAGGTGCAAAAATCAAACTATAACTTAACTCTCACCCATCCAGCTACAGTTTCAAGTCAACCAAAACTTTAATTTTTTTTTTTTAAATACCTGAACTTTATCCTGAATTATGCACAGCAATTCAAACATCTCCAAATATTTGAATACTGAACACATTAGATCCCTATCCCAGAACTTGGTGGGTAACTCTCACAGACTAAAGGGCGCTTTCATGTCAGTGTCGCCATTGTAGTAGGCAAAGATCGTTTTAGCATCGTGTGCTGTAGGTAGTAGGCAAACCTTCAACTGTTGAGAAAAACGCAGCTAGGCAAAACCCAGTGCTGGGTTAGCACGACAGTAGTGACCATTATGCCATTTGATAAAGAATTCATGGTTATTTGTACTTGAAAATAAGCCCTACTGTCTAGTTTACAACGCACGACGGTTGCTAACCAAACGCTTGCCTACTGCAATGGTCGCCAAGCATGGGGAAACCGAACAGTCACATGGTACTGTGACGATCAAAACCTATTCACATTTCTTACCTTAGGGTGCATATTGAAATAGCGTTTCCTATCAAAATCTTTCTTTTCATTTTCTGCGTAGTAGAGCAGGTAGCCTTCCTTGATGACAAAGAATCTGGAACAAAAGGTAAAAACAACATAAAGAAATTAATAGCCAAAGTTAGCAAATACAATGTTGTCAGAAAGTGTTCCGAGGTTTCAGAATCACGGTAACAATTTTGAGCCAGCTAAAGTAACCTTCAAATAAAAATTAAAACACTTTTGCTCTTGCAGATAAACTTCTCTTCGACAGACAGCGCAATTTGATTACATAATTAGAAATGCAATTTGCACAACTCCTGAAATTTACAATTAAATGAGTCAATCTGGCCATCAAATATTTGATGTGCACTTTTATCATCTTTCAAACCACACTGGTAATTAACATTCAACAAATTCATACACCTGCCAACTTTAACATTTAATCAGTTAAACATCGACCAGTCTATTTTATTTGGTTATAGCTAGCTCCGGAATATAAAACGAGTCATAAATTTTTATCACTCAATCCCTCTAGACCATAAAATTAAAGTTGGTTATGCAGTACATGTGTGTTCAGAACAGCTTGACAAGTAACTATAAAAAAAGTTTATGACACAAATAACAGTTAAGTGTAGACCAAGATTATAGTAATAATGGTCAAACCAACAATGCAGTACAATACTTTGATTTGCACAGATAATTGAGTGAAGATATTGCAGATTTTGTGCACACTTTTGTGAAATGCCCAGTTTTAAAAATAGACAAATGAGAGCCCATTTTTAAATAAGCGCTAATTGTTAAAATTTGGAATGCCCATTTTAAAAAAAAATTGGGCAAATCACAAAAATGGGCACATTTTAAAATGGTCACGATGGTGTCTGGAGAACTGGTCCCTGTTAGGCCCCATCTATGGCAACGGTCCCACCCATTGTTGGGACAGTTCCAACAATAGTTTGGAAAACTAGGACGACCCTTCTGTACTTGGGAGTAGAATACGAACCTCTTTTGCCACTTTCCAGAGTTGGAGGTTGGCCCAAAGGGCTTCTTCCAAAGAGTCCCCCACAGCTGAACCTTGGACAACAGCAAATCGTCTATGATATCCATGTTCTTCATCAATACGTGGTTTCTCAGTTTTCACTCAAAGCTTTTCGTTTCACAGATTTTCTCCCGCCGAGTCCAGATTCAGGTAGACCAGCAAACCTGGTTACAAACTAGCTCCAAATGATGTGTGTCTCAAACGCAGAATGGGTCGAGTATGGAAACTGCAATTCCAAACAATGTACATGTATAATGATACCCAACCACTGACTTTTCAAGGCTTTGAAATTCGTATCTGCTGTTTAGTGGCATAGATTCTGAGCTTGGATAAAAATGTTGATTTCTTAAAAATTATTCAGTAAACAGCTGATGTTGTCACGATAGGCAAGTATGACAAACGTAACACGGTTTTTACAATGGACAATGATAATTGATATATTATCTATCAGTATCACTGAAACCTCCTTCACAATGTATCAAAGATTTCCAGATTCACAGTTGAACCAGACTAGCCCACTTGCTGGAATAACCTAGATGACAAATAATGACAACGGCAACGAATGCAGGTCCCAAGTAAAGAAAACTCCAAGTCCAAGAACAGTGTTTACCTTAACATGTCACATTAATGAAGTTTGCAGATACACTGACAATGACTGATGGCCCATTAGTTTTTACTCATTTACAACACTTGAAAGTAAAACATAACATGACCAGTTGTGTATCATACTGATAGATTAACACACCACACGTTTAAACAGCGCTGTCAAAGTGACAGTCATTGCAGTGAAACGACCAAGGAACTCTTTGAGTTTGATGAATGACAGTCATGACTTGACAGTAAAAGTATTTCACTTTCAATTTTCACAGCGGAGTTCAGTCCAAATTTATGATCCTTGTGTCCATCCACTGCTGAAAATACAAGCTGTCGTGATCCACAGTCGTGAGTTCCGGCTTACGAATATCAGAAGGTCCCGTATGGAATGCAATTCATGTAACCGACATGAACATAAATGCATGTGTACATAGCCGTGGCGTTAGCACTCAGAAGTCCTTGAATTTCCGAGTTGGCGAACTTTCTCACGCGCCGTCACGGTCAAATTAATTTTGAAGCTAAGTTTGGTAAACCTCTCGTGGAAAAAAAAGCCACAAATTTCGCAACATTGCTCAGAACTTGATCCCATGCAGTTCATGACAGTTTACAACCCGAATAAATACATTCTGATGACAAACATGTCCTCCAATCCGGGTTTTTCTGCTTGAACTTTCTGTCCGACGTTTGCGTGATGTCGCTCTATTTGTTTGAGAGGTCGCGTCAATTTCGTTATGTTGTTTTACTTCCGGGAGATAGATACGCCTTATACGGCTGTTGCATGACGCCATTTTGTGAGGAACAAAATCATCATTTGCAGAAAATAGCTTTAGTCAATCAAATTTGTCGTCTGCATTATCTTTTCATCACTTACAGAAAGAAAGGGAGACGTCGTAATTTTAAAGGAAATTTTCTCTCTGCTTCCTTTCGCTTTGTATCCTCGGAGGATACCTTGACACAGGAAACAGTCGTCAGAGCACAATAATTCCACATAAACTGCGGCACAAGAGGGCGTTGTCCGTTTTTTTACGCACTGGATTTGTTCACCTCTTTAAATTTTCATTCATTAGCAGCTGATCTCGCCGTCACTTGCACGGTATTAGGGTTCGGTGATAAGCTTTGAGAAGATGAGAAATCAAATCAAAGAACGACCTTGCTGAATATGCATCCAAACCTCGACTTTATGTTCACTAGAATTCAATGCAACTCCGCTCCCCTTTTCTTTATTAATTTGTTCTATAGGCGTATTCCACTCTTCGTTTTCTTACAAAAATATATTAATTTTTCAATCCGGCACGGTCTATGTTTCATTTTAAACAACTTTTTTTTCAATGTTTGCGTCTGTAACTTGCAACTTTCGCCTTTTTTTCTGGGTTGCCTTTCCGCCTCTGACGCGGAAACAAATCCACCTGCTTGAGTTGAGGCTCGGGGACTAAATATCGGGCCGCAATTAATTCGAAATTGTAATAACGCGTTATATTCCATAACATAATCGTGGTCGGATTAGTTCCTTTGATCTGTGTCACACTCAAAAGTATAATAGCCCAACTTTAAGAACTGGATAAAACAAATTGTTAACGGTTTACCCCCTTATTGCAATAACAGTATAGGCTTCAATCTTGAAGAATTGGCTCCATTAATTTACGCTGTGGTATTCACTCTGTTCCCCGATATAGTTCGACGAGGTCCATATTATGTTTCATGCGCAAGCCATCACATAATGTCAAGTGAAAGAGTAATGTTACAAAAATTTGAAATTTTTCATAAACATTTAAATTTGCCCAATCTTATTCCAAAAGCAAGGTTAACCCCTTACAATCTGCAATTTTCCAGAAACATTTGATTTTTCCCGATTTTCCTAAAAATGCAAGGTTAACCCTTTATACAATTTGAATTTTTTTCATAATCATCTAATTCCATTACATCTGGAATTTTTCAGAAGCATCTGATTTTGCCCAATTGTAGTAAAATATGCACCAAATTTTGCTAAAAAAGCAAGGTTAATCCCTTACAATTTTAGATTTTTCATACAAATCTGATTTTGACAAATTTTGCTAAATATACAAGATTCACCCTTACAATCTGCAATTTTCCAGAAACATCTGATTGTGCCCTATTTTGCTAAAAAAGAAAATGCAAGGTTAACCCCTGACAATTTGAATTTTTTCATAAACATCTAATTTTTCCCAATCTTATTCAAAAAGAAAGTTAACCCCTTACAGTCTGCAATTTTCCAGAAACATCTGATTTTTTCCCAATTTCGCTTAAAACATGCAAGGTTAACCCCTTATAATTTTAAATTTTTCATAAACATCTAACTTTGCCAAATTTCACTAAAAAAGAAAGGTTAATCCTTTACATCTGAAATTTTCCAGAAACATCTGATTTTGCCCAATTTTGCTAAAATGCAAGGTTAACCCCTTACAATTTTAAATTTTCCATAAACATCTGATTTTGCCCTATTTGGCAAAAAAATGCAATCTTTACCCCTTATGATTTGAATTTTTTCATCAACATCTAATTTTGCCAAATTTCACTAAAAAAAGTAAGGTTAATTCCTTACATCGGAATGTTTTTCAGAAACATCTGATTTTGCCAAATTTTGCTAAAATATGCAAAGTTCACCCCTTACAATTTGAGATTTTTCATAAAAATCTCATTTTGCCCAATTTTGCAAGGTTAACCCCTTACAATCTGAAATTTTTCATGAACACCTGATTTTGCCCTATTTTGCTAAAAAAAATGCAAGGTTAACCCCTAAAAATTTGAAATTTTTCATTCACAATAAAATTTGCCAAATATTTTTTAAAAATGCAAGGTTCAACCCTTACAATTTGAGATTTTCATAAAAATCTGATATTGCCCAGTTTTGCTAAAAATGCAAGGTTAACCCCTTTCAATCTGCAATTTTCCAGAAACATCTGATTTTGCGCTAATTGGGCAAAGGTTAACCCCTTACAAATTTTGAGTTTTCATACAAATCTGATTTTTCCCAATTTCGCTAAAAATGCAAGGTGAACCCCTTATAATCTACCATTTTTCATAAACACCTGATTTTGCCCTATTTTGCTAAAAAAAATGCAAGGTTCACCCGTTACAATTTGAGATTTTTCATAAAAATCGGATATTGCCCAGTTATGCTAAAAAAGCCAAGTTAACCCCTTACAATCTGCAATTTTCAGGAAACATCTGATTTTCCCCAATTTGTCTTAAAAAATGCAGGGTTAACCCCTTACAATTTGAAATTTTTCATAAACATCTAACTTTGCCAAATTTCACTAAAAAAGCAAGGTTAACCCCTTTCAATCTGCAATTTTCCAGAAACATCTGATTTTGCCCTAATTTGGCAAGGTTAACCCCTTACAATTTTTTTTTTCAGAAAAATCTGATTTTGCCCAATTTTGCTAAAATGCAAAGTTAACCCGTTATAATCTGAAATTTTCCATAAACACCTGATATTGCCCTATTTTACTAAAAAAAGGAAGGTTAACCCCTGACAATTTGAAATTTTTCATAAACATTTAAATTTTCCCAATTATGCTAAAAAGGCAAGGTTAACCCCTTACAATTTTAAATTTTTCCTACACATCTTATTTTGCCAAATTTCACTAAAAAAGCAAGGTTAACCCCTTACAATCTGAAACTTTCCAGAAAGATCGGATGTTGCCTAATTTCGCTAAAATATGCAAGGTTGACCCCTTACAATTTGAAATGTTTCATAAACATCTAACCCCATACAATCTGCAATTTTCCAGAAACATCTCATTTTTCCCAATTTTGCTAAAAATGTAAGGTTAACCCCTTGCAAACTGTTAAATCAATACATGAAGTGTCCCATTTGACTTTTTTAAAACAAATTATATTTCCAGTTTTTAGGGTAAAGGAATTTTCTCTTTTTCCTTTCTCTTTTGTTGTTGCCATATTTTGCGAATTAACTCATTCGTATGGAATGCTCATAGTCAATCAAAGAATATTTCACACATAGGGGCCTATATTATATATTTTTTCATTTAATAGAGACGCAATGATCGTGTTATCATATACCATTCTATTACTATTGCGAATTACTGTATTGTTTGGAATGCTCACAATTAAAGACACGTTATTTGAAAGATGTATAAATAATATTTATATTACAATGCACATCTTTATTTTTCCCGGTATAATTTATGGCGTTTCTTACGTCAATTGGCAATCGCGTCATTATATAATGATTTTGATTAAAAATCTAAAAATTAATGTGGCCTGACGTTGCGAACTTAGCAAGTTCTTCTTCAGAGGCTAAAACAGAAATGACAGAGATTATAGTCAATTATGAAATATTCATTGATTTATGACATACACCTTTGTTTCAATTTTGATACTACCCGTAGACCTGTCGAGCAGCTGTAGATACCAAACTAAACCAAAGTATAAAAGATAGAGGGTAAAAAAAATCAAAAAGTTATGTGCTAGTCAAGCTTTCAGGGATCGGTCTGAGCCATAACAATGCCCCAGCCGATCCCTTAGTTCTCTTCCGGGGTCTCGGCGTCCCCGACCAATACACACTTCCTTCCCTATCCATCCATATAACCCCGGAGGGCCAGGCACCATGTAAAAGCAAAGAGCTAAGGGAGGAACAGGGCGGCCCCTAAGCCCTGATCCTCCGAGTGGACCACATGCCCTGAACCTGTACGAAGGCGCCAACCTGGAACTCGCGGACAGTACCAGCAGCAGTGCTTACCGATTAAGCTAAGGTACTGTTGGTACTTTACGACGGGAAATTAAATCTCTTATAGTAAATAACTAAACTCATACGTTAAAAACCAAAAAGACACCAGCGGGATTCGAACCCGGGACCCCGTTAACCGTGGACGACGAATCGTAACCACTCGGCCATTTCGTTACCTTAGAATTTTCCTTAAACTGAGAAAAGTTGTCTTTACAGGTGAGCAAACGCGCCAGGAAGATTACTGGGTCCATTTGCTTTACCTTAATGGGTAAAAACAAGTCGATATAATGAGCCCAGTGTGTTTGGTTTGTTAGGATTTTAGGAAGAGCTCTGCATAACACAGCCTAATGTGCAAAACAGTCGTGTGCTAGGCGGATCATTACGCAACAATGAACACCGCAATTGTGTATTTTCAAAAGGCAGACGCGTAGATTTCTACTCTTTGTATCTGGGCACATATAGATTCTCACCTCCCTCTTCAGCTATTTCGACTTTCTTAAAAAGAAAAATAGAGACTGTCGGCGAATCTCCGGGAGTTGAAATAAGGATCGTCCCCTCGATAGACCTCAGACTCAGTAAAGTTCAACATTGGGCTCTTTTTCAACAGCTGTTTTTGCGGAAACTTTACATCTGGATTTTTTTTAGAAGCATCTGATTTTGCCCAATTTTAGTACAATATGCTCCAGATTTTGCTAAAAAAGCAAGGTTAACCCCTTACCATTTTAGATTTTTCATACAAATCTGATTTTGCCAAATTTTGCTAAATATACAAGGTACACCCCTTACAATTTAAAATTTTTCATAAACATTTTTTTTTGCCCAATTTTGCTAAAAATACAAGGTTAAGCCCTAACAATCTGCAATTTTCCAGAAACATCTGATTGTGTCCTATTTTGCTTAAAAAAATGCAAGGTTAACCCTTTACAATTTGAATTTTTTTCATGAACGTCTAATTTTTCCCAATCTTATTTAAAAAGCAAGGTTAAACCCTTACAATCTGCAATTTTCCAGAAACATTTGATTTTTTCCCATTTTCGCTAAAAAAAAATGCGAAGTTAACCCCTTTCAATTTGAAATTTTTCATAAACATCTAACTTTGCCAAATTTCACTAAAAAAGCAAGGTTAATCCCTTACATCTGAAATTTTTCGGAAACATCTGATTTTGCCCAATTTCGCTAAAATATGCAATGTTCACCCCTTACAATTTGAAGTGTTTCATAAACATCTAAAACCATACAATCTGCAATTTTCCAGAAACATCTGATTTTTCCCGATTTTGCTAAAAAAATGCAAGGTTAACCCCTTACAATTTGAATTTTTTTTCATAAACATCTAATTTTGCCTAATTTTACAAAAAAAAAGAAGGTTAATCTATTACCTCTGGAATTTTTCAGAAGCATCTGATTTTGCCCAATTTTAGTAAAATATGCACCAAATTTTGCTAAAAAACAAGGTTAATCCCTTACAATTTTAGATTTTTCATAATCGGATTTTGACAAATTTTGCTAAATATACAAGGTTCACCCTTACAATCTGCAATTTTTCCAGAAACATCTGATTGTGCCCTATTTTGCTAAAAAAGAAATGCAAGGTTAACCCCTTACAATTTGAATTTTTTCATAAATATCATTTTTCCCAATTTTGCTTAAAAATGCAAGGTTAACCCCTTATTATTCTCAGACAACACACAAAACCACACAGTGAGAGTTGATTTGACTTTTTTGGCATAGATTTTTTGAGCCGCTAATTTATTTCTCCTCGGTCAATGTTTAACTGTATTAAATGTCCGTAAATACGTTAACAAGCTATAACATAACAATAATTACCTTTCTATTTGCTAAAAGATATTTGCCTTAGAAACATTTTAAACAAGCTAAAAACGGGGCACGCTTGCCCCAAATCCTTGCCATGCTTAGCATCACTGGGCCCAAAACCTTGGCACACTTGCCAACAAGGGCGGATCCAGGGGGGGGGGGGGGGCCAAAGGGGGCCATGGCCCCCCCCCCCCAAAAAAAAACGAAACCAATTTTTTTTTTATGTGACATCGCAATAAATGCAGGCAATGAGTACACCACCATCTTTTCCTCAAAAAAAAAATTGGTTAAAGTGGTCAGAAATTGCCTCAGATCGCACCACAGAGCATCTAGAACCCAAATTTTTTTTCGGGGCCCTTAAGCGGGCCCCAACCCCACGCCATAATTTTCTGGACCCACTTTTTTGGGGGACCAAATTTTTTTTGCCCCCTCCCAAAAAAAGGGTGTTCTGGATCCGCCCTTGCTTGCCAACCATTCACTAGCCCCACCAGAACAAGTGGATGCTAGCCAAAGTGTTTTGTCACGTGACTTAAGTATTTGTCACGTGACTTTAGTATTTATATGCCTATATTACTCAAGAATTTATTTGTAGTTAAAGCACACCGATTTGGTCCACCGCTCGTAGATACGGTTGGCGTGCCCCATCAGTACAAATGGGTACTTGGCGTACTTTTTTACAAAGATGTTTAACGTCCAAATTCAAAGTCTTACTTAAGAACTATTTACCCAACTTGCTTGTTTAGTTTGAATTGAGGCACTGCCCGTCGCTCCCAGCCAATTTGGACCATTTATAGAAGTATAAAAGTATGGGGGGGGGGGGGCGAAGGGGAGGAGGTGGTTTATTTTTGATGTAGCGGTCTCAAAAAGCACTGTACATTACAGGGTGTAAGGCGCCCCCTATTTTTTAAAGGAGTTGTGCATGTAGCGCGTTCAGGATCTAGGATGTAAAGGCCCAATCAATAAACTTTCTTTGAGTAAAACAACCAATCAAATCGCTCATGCACTTTTCAAGTTATGACATTTTAAACATAAACACATTTTTACAAAATTGTGTCCACAAATCACAAGAAAGGTAAGTGTTTATTTCAGCAAAACGAAAACATTTTACATATTAAAAAATCCCATAGAGCTGTATATGAAAAAAACCCCGCATCAGAACACTCTCATAACCATAATAATTGGCACTTTTCATATAACCTTTATTTAAACACATTCTGCTTCCAATGTCAGGGCATTTTTGCAGTGTGTGGGGGGGGGGGGGTAGCATTATTATTTTTGTAATGAATTTCTATGGAAAAAATTGTTGGACAGAGCTTTTTTTTGTTTGTTTAACCCCACCCCCGCCACCGGATCCGCGGCGTAGCGAGGGTTCTCATTCTAGCGGGGCCTGTTGGGAAAGGGGGGGGGGGGCTTGGCTTGATGTTACAATGGAGGGGCGCCCAAAACTTTCATCCGTGCTGAAAACGTACCCGGACACCCGCCCTCCGTAAAGTGTGTTGGGGGTGGGGGGGGGGGGGTGGACACCATCTTCCCATTGGGGCGCTGTTCAAAACGTATATCACGGCTACATTAGACAGTACTAACTACCGCTATTCGCCTTACATTAAACAGCTACTCACGAAAAAAAAATGTTAAAAATGCGTAAAAATCGCGGGCAAAAGGGACTTTATGTTCTTCCAGCTGAAATCATGGTAACTCATATGGCTGTGATATTCTCCGGATGCCAAATTTTCAGTGGGGGGCGACCGCGGAGGGCGAACTTTTTATGGGGCGTGCGCCCTTTCCGCCCCCCTCCCTCCCCCCCCCCCCCCCCCCCCACACACACACACACACACACGCCCCCCGTACTTACGCCACTGCCACCCGTCCCTAAAAAAACCCGATGACCAATGGCAATCATAACTGGCAAAAAATAGCAAAGATTTGTGAGAAAGTATATATTTCTTCACGAATTTATCATCATTGAAACATTAAAGCGCAAAAAGGTAAGATTGGATGCGTTAGTGTTGCTATGCCAATCAATTTCAGCCCAACTGTGCGTCAAAGAAGCCCAATGTTACTGCACGTACAACACTATCCATTGCGAAGCAGACGGCAGATAGAGCCGATTTGGGCTCTTTTTACCGCGATCAGCACACCGCATAAAACCAACATGGCAGCCGCCAGTGAAACTGCGAACGCCGAAGTTACGAACACAAATTCGGACGATATGAATTCATCGCAACCAGTTTTGCTCACAGAGGGAAGCTTTTCTGTCGAGAATGGATCGTCAGAACAAAAACAGGACGGAGGATCGGGAGTAGAAGGTGCAGAAGGCGAGGCAGCAGAGGAAACATTGAGTCAAAAAATCGACCGGTTGGAAGAGTTGAATAAAGAGGAACAGCAAGACGAGTTGAAATACGTACCACCGCTTCAGGATCCGTATTCACGCTCTGTCAAGTACATGGAGAAACATAACATCATGCAAATATTCCAGGTAAAACATGTAAATATTGGGAAGGATTGTATTATTTGGGATGGAAGGGATATGAATGAAAATATCAGAGTTGTTTAAGCAATAAAAAGCAATCAAACAAGCGAAAAGAAAACTAAAACAAAGTTAGGCTAACTATATCGGAAAAATTCTGCCAACCGGACACCACTTTTTTCAATTAATTTTCTAGCGCCAAAAGTTACCTCTTTTATCGTTATTCCCTCCACTTTCCCTCCTCTACTCTCACCCCCTCCTTTCCTTAATTTCTATTTATCAATCAGTCGCTCACTTCATCGAGATTCGAACCTCGGACGCTTGCTTGATACACGAGTCTCTTAACCGCTAGGCCGCGCACGATCGCTGTTGCAATGATCAATCTTTGGACGTATTTGAAGTATCCATTGAAATAAACTAAATATTCATGAGAAAATAAATATTCATAATGACGTATTGCACTATCATTGGCCGGCTCATGCGACGTCTCATGCGACGTCATGATTATCGATGTCTAGCCCGACTGCGTCTGGCCGTACAGTACTATCGCAAGCTCTGTAGTACGGCCAGACGCCCGATGCTTCCACAGAGACTGAATTTTGTTGGCCTCCGATGTAGCGATTTTGCTACATCTTTCGATCGCGATTATCTTTTCATCCAGGACACAAATTTCCAAAGTTAAGGTTCGTAGTGGTAGAGCAACTCATACCTTTTCGAAAAAACGTTGTTTGGTCTCAATATTTTCATCCATCTGGCCACAAGACGAATTTCAGTCATCAGATTCCACAAATATCGTCCCCCATGCGATCCCCCATGCGATTTCAAAATGGCGGCCGCGCTGTAATGTATGCAATATGCAGGCGCGCCCGCACAAACTCATGAATATGCATAAACAGTCTGTGACGTATGACCCCGTGTTTTTGGACGTGCGTGCGGCGGGGCCGTACGTCCAAAAACACGAGGTCATACGTCACAGACTGTTATGCATATTCATAAGTTTGTGCGGGCGAGCCTGCATATTGCATACATTACAGCGCGGCCGCCATTTTGAAATCGCATGGGGGATCGCATGGGGGACGATATTTGTGGAATCTGATGACTGAAATTCGTCTTGTGGCCAGATGGATGAAAATATTGAGACCAAACAACGTTTTTTTCGAAAAGGTATGAGTTGCTCTACTACTACGAACCTTAACTTTGGAAATCTGTGTCCTGGATGAAAAGATAATCGCGATCGAAAGATGTAGCAAAATCGCTACATCGGAGGCCAACAAAATTCAGTCTCTGTGGAAGCATCGGGCGTCTGGCCGTACTACAGAGCTTGCGATAGTACTGTACGGCCAGACGCAGTCGGGCTAATCGATGTCATGCGTATAACGTACCGATGTTCCAGACACTTCAATCAGTTTTGACCGGCTGCTTCAAGTCAGATCTGCACTACATGTGCATGCAAAATGTGCTCCAAAAACACATTTTTACCAATTTTTTTCGCATGTCCACTCTTTCCTGGATTCCTCTTGGTTGAAATCACAAGGTAAGGTGAAAATTTGGATGTTTGGCGGCAGGTAAGTGGTGTCCGGTTGGCAGAATTTTTCCCAGAGTAAAGTGATGGCTAGTCTAGTCACTACAAATATGGTGCGAAGTCCACGAATGTGGCTGGAAAACGTTTGAACTTTTGTTAGAGAATATTTTTTTTTCTTTCTACATTCCAACAAAGTCACATCTGAATACTTTCTTTTATTAGAGCATACTAAATTCTGTCCAAACGTATTTTGTGCAACGCAATGTAAACTTAATTTAATGTTAATACATATTTATAATTAACATAATTATATTTACAATTCAATGTCTTTTATCTTTCATTGCAGCACCTAACTGCAGAGATTGTGTACCACAAGCCAACCGACCCCTTACAACACATGCTGGAGGAGCTAAACAGAATGGTTGCAGACAGAGAATTGAAACGAGAGGAAGCGCTCAAGAGTGCCGGTATTCGCTGATGAACCTGGGGCCTCCATCTACGTGTGTGGTGCTTATGGACAGGATGGATAAGAAAAATGTTTCATCTTCATTCACTTCAAACTACAACTTCTCAAAGTTATTCAAACATGATTGAAACTGATAATACCCCAAAACCTTATGAATTTACAAATATATGATGGAACGTTTTGTCAGAAGATTAAATTTGGGTTTGGGATTGTGCTCTAATATTTTATGTTGAAGGGCAAAATTCAACATTGAAATGATGATGTACTTGAACACTAAACAGTAGTAAACAAATTTCAAACGTGGAGTTACTTCTATTTCTCTTATTGGACATCATCCTATCAAAAAGTTACTTAAAAATATATCAAGGTGGCATACTTCATATGCCACTCAGTTTCTGCATCAGCATTACTATTATCGTTTTGCTCTTATAAAAAACAAAAGGATGATTTGTTATCATAGTGAGTATTAATGAAGGAGGAAATCATCAGAGTATGCAAATGAGCTTTATACATGTATGTCCAAAGGGAAGCTTAACATTTAAGTTGATTCTTACATTGTATTTGTTAATTACAATCAAGAATGATGTAATTTGCTGCACAGTGCTTAATGTGTGAATAAAACCATGAATTCTATTTTTCTACTGTAAATACACCTCAGAATACACGCACTTCCATTCCAGTTCAGAACACGTTGAGGTTTACATTTGTTTTGCTGATGTGAAAAGTCAGGTTGCACTTTAATATTGGACATAATTTCCACTTCTTTGAACCAAGTTCTAATTTCCTTCATGCTTGATATTCTTTTTCAGTGTCGTTAGAATATTTTCTGGGAGTTTCCTTCTACCACTAAAGCTAAACACATTTAAGAATTGCCAAGTGGGCTATGGTTGGCCATCATTGCACAAAAGAAGAAATCCAAAAACATTAAAAAATCATCCAACCTTCAAAAAACGTTGTTTAAACACTTGAAAGGAACAAAACTTATACGAAGACAAAATGTACCTCTTAATTCCAAGAATGTAAATTTTTTGGGAAAAAAACTTGCTGGAGAGTCCAAATGTATGCATTGATGGCCGCTCATTTGGGATTTTATGTTTGTAAATAAAAGGTCTAAAAAGCCATAGGTCATAAGAATCTGATGTGAAACAGCATTGTAATGGAACGTTGTCTTTACTTGACTATTGGTCATATTGATGTGCAAAGTATAAAATTGACAACAAGAAATAGGGGCAGCAAAGACTTTGCAATATAAAGGTGCTTTATTAAAATGTCTGCAAAGCAGGTGTTAGTTTTTTTTCTTCTTTACAATTTAAGGTTTCAGGATGTATTTTTGAGCAAATTTGAACATACAAAAAAAATGTAGGTCAATCATCTGATCCAAAACTCAAAGTGCTTCTAGTAAGCCAAATAATAGAGGGTAGTGCATTTATAATTTAGGGGAAAACAGCATTCTTTATAGTTTTCAGAGCACAAGATATATGGATATTGGATAATAGTATGCATGTATCTCTAACCCAACATTTTCAGTGCATTTTAAGTCGGTTCACATTATTGTGTATTTTTGTATTTAAGCCTGGTAAGCATTATACGATGATTACATGTGCTGTTATATTAACAGTCCAAATTGTGACAAAGTAAGAAATATAATCTTTGGGTGTATAAGTAAAATGCTGCTACTTTGGGGTGGAATCTCTATTAAGTTTTCGTATTGCCCAAGGCCTGGACTTGAGTGAGTTCAATTTCTTTAAGTAAAGTAGAATGCCACTATAACGAACATGATGGGGCCCATAAAAAAATGTTCTTTATAGTGGTCGTTCGTTAAAGTGATTGTGCATTATGAAATAATTTACTATTTCGAAAGCCAAAAGGGATGTTCATTATAGCCAAATGTTTATTATAGTGGTGTTGGTTATAGTGGCGTTTCACTGTATGTGTACTTTTTGTACCATGTCTTACATGCAAGTCTAAATGTTCAGATTTAAGCTAGATTTTTGGGTGATTCTCTTAAAGAAAAAGCCTTTTGCAAATATTTTAATGACAATCTCCTATTTTCTGAAAGGTTTCTTGCAATCGTTAAAAAGCCAAATGTTTTGTGTGCAGTGATATGCTTTATCTCGTATATTGTTATAAAAACAATGCTATGGTGCTTCTTTTAAAATATTTTTTGCTTGTAAAATTTCGCTTTAATAAAGTAGCTAAGAGTTTGACTGTTCCACTGACAAGCTGGGACACAATAAAAGAAGAAAACACGTCACAGCAATTATTCTCTGTCTGCCTTTTCCATCGTTTTGGTGCCCCATTTCCAAGCCCAAGTCCCATTATCCTGGCCCCTTTATTTTTTTCTTGCTACTGTCTATGATGACTGATTCTCTGCCATTTTTTGCTTGTTACATTTTGTACATAAAATTGCCAATATTATGTTCTGCTTAACAAATTCATAAAACGGGGCCCTGGGATTAATTTCACCAAGCTAATATTAGACGTGTTCAACATGTCCTAACTTCCTTAGCAATGCGGCTGACCTTGTCTCAACTTGGAATTCCGTCTGAGGGTTATCTTATCTCATTAATGTGAGCATTAATTTGTATATTGTCTAGAAATAACTGCCATTAAAGATGAGTGTCGGCCATAGAGCTCTATGGTGTTGGCCTAGAGTTATGGTTTTGAGGAAAACATTTGCTGTAGAAACAGATTTGAAAATAGTTCTGATCCGTGGGTAGTTTGAATAAAAATACCTTATTTTTACAAAATTTAATGATACGCCAACACCTATTCGACTTTTTAAAGCAGAGTGATGCAATGGGAGCAAGAATGACTCAAACGTATCTTTTGTAGAACTACCTTGCGTGTGTAATTGATTGAGTAGAGTAATTTTTCTGGCGAAAGTTTGTGTTCAATGCAACCACTTGAAGTTGTGCAATTCTTTTCAACGACTGTTTCATAAAGTGGTAAAAACAAACATGACACAGCTATCAAATTGGTAGTTTGGATGCATCTTGCTCAAGATGGGTTTAGTGAGATTGGTCTGAGGACGTGTCTTAGTTAAGATCGATCTTTGAGCCGGGATTCGTCTCAAGTCCTAAATGAGTCGCAAGATAAGACTTGTGAAATCAGCCCCTGGGGTCTCAAGTCTAGGATTGGTACTGCGCAATGGAACATTTGAAGTTGAGCTTTGTAAAGTTGCAGAATTTCAAAGAGGAATGTAGAACAATGCAATTTGGTATGTACCATCACATTTATTACAGAAAGTTGAAAAGATATCAAATATGTACAGCACGTTGTACAGTCAAAATTACAAAAACTTGGTAAACTTCATCCTTTCAACGTAGAGAAAGAAACCACACAGAAGTCATGTCATGGTACATGAAAATCAAATCATTTTCACACAGAAAAACTCGACATTTAAATGACACATCAATTGGAATCAAACTTCACATGTCTACGAGAAAAAAAAAAGAAGGAAAGAAAGAAAGTTATGCCACTGATAAAATAATTGGTGCAAAGGTTTGACACTGAAATCTTACGCAGCAAATATTGGTGTTTAAAACACATGTACCAAATACTGTGAACATGGTGAATGAAGAAAGACCAGGAAAGTTATATCACTTTATACAAAAATAAACAGTTCTGCTGAACCGAGCAATTAAACTCACAATCGGAAACAATTACAGTGACAGACTGCTAAATACCTCTAACACCGCAGTAGTGGTTCAATTTGTTTTTAAGAAAATGACAAGTTTCTACTTTCATTTAGCAGATCTACCAATTGACATTGATTCTTCTCAATGAGATTTATTTCGAAATTTGAAAAGACAAGATCAAAAATGAGAACATTCACAAGGAAACTGCAAAAGTGACCATGGCGTCTTCAGTTCCTGTAAGACAATTCATCATCTTAAGGCATATCAAATGCTTCCACATTCAGCTCCTGGATTTAGAGGTTTCTAGTTCCACACTGAAGAGCCCAAACACAATTTCTGTACATAAGACTTGACGTCAAACTTTTTGTTTAAAGTATCATTTCCTTTTTTATTTGATTTCTTTACCATCCTGGATTTTTGCTGAAAAAACCTTAAAAATACCTACCGGGTGGGGTCAATACCAATTATTTCTGAGAAATTAAAACAAAAAGATATAGGCACACTGGTTGGCACTGTAAAGAAAAACCCAATTAAGGAAAGAACTGGTGAGACATTAAAACTTGACAGTCACTGGGAATGTAAAAAAGTGTGTTTTACAACTACGTATATTCAAATTACAATTTATGTTCTTGATCATTTAGTATCTGAAAAACACAAATGTAAAATTATCAAGAATTCATTCTTGATGCTACAATAGACTACAGATGTAAGCACAATCTTACAAAGATGTTGACAAATACGTTGACCATATAATTCTCAAAGATAAAATGTTATCAATCAATAAAAGTATGAACAGTATTTGTATGATTGTAGTTCTACAATTAAAGACACTAATACCTTGACACTTGTTTTCCCGACGGGCTGACTCTATAGATTTGCATACGAAGAACGTACTAACATTTGGAATTCCAAAATTCACAGACAAATAACAATGCAGAAGTATATAATGTGATCAATAAGTTTCGTTGAGCTACCCTCTGCTACATCAGATTCAAACTGGCCAGCCAACCCCGGCAAGCTCGGTGGTTGAGTGGTAAGACGTCTGCACTAGTCAGTGGGACGTCGTGGGTTTGAGTCCCATCTGAGTAAGCTTGGGATTTTTTTCTCGCAAGTTTTCGGACAACACCGAGAATACAGTGTTTATCAATAAATTGGCGAAGGGCAAAATCCGATATAATATGCACAAGTACTTCACAAAGACTTTTTGTTGTTGGAGATTTGATCTGAATGACACTTTCAACCAGTGGAAATTAGATTGAACAATTCCAGTTGAAATTCAGCAAAATGGAGGCAGTGCAGGAGAAAAGGAAGATTTGCACACCTAAAAATAAACAATATATAAATGATAGTCCCAATTCAACTGCCTTACACCAGTCTGTTGCTTGCTGAGTCTGTTCAACACAAGGCATGTTGTGCTACTATGTCACCCGTTTCACTTTCAGCTAAAGACTTCCAAAACTTGCTAAGCATTCTCCCCACACAAACTGACAACTGACATCCACCCAAAAGTGTTGTTTTTGATTAATTTTTGTTTTTGTTTTTAAACTAACAGATCAGTCATCTGTTCATACTAATGTACAAATCCCATATTTAGTGCATCATTATCACATTATAATCCATGACAAAGAAATACGAGCATCTGTCAACAGAAATAGCCAGTATGAAGATTTGTCTAATTACCAATCAGATACAACATGAAAGAAAACGTCAAATATCTTTGTATGAATTCTTCCTTTTAGCCATTGCAAGCTCGAGTTGTAATAAATATATCCACACTAAATCGTAACAAACACCACTACAATATTGCTAACTCTGGATAAGTGATGTGTATTTGAGACACCCCCCACCAGCAAAATAAAAACCCACTTTCAGTTATTGTGATGATGGCATTTTAAACACTCTCCATGTTGTCCAAGCTGGAATCCATTATCTTTCTGTAGTGCCACTGCTCAAAGATGGCATGACCTCAAATGTCATCTCAAGGTCAAAGGTCATTTGAAGGTCATCTGTTTGTCCTTTGGATAATAAGTACTGACTGCCTGATGTCAAACTTGGCCGAAGATTTCATCATGTACACTTCCATACAAACAAGCTGTGGACAGAACACAAACATTGAAATTTATTTGAGCCGAATCAAATTTGGTAAAGTGCTCCAGTTCCCATTTAAACAGCGCGATGTTCCAATTGTATGACGTCAAAGTACCATGTGACCATCAGGGCTCAATTTCATAGCACTGCTCAACAGTAAGCAGAAAAGTTGTGCTTACTATAGCAGAAAATCATGCTGCTGCTTTAGCACTATTTCATGCTAACGGTTGCATGCGCATGGAGATTTCTATTGTTACGTCACTGATTTAAGCAAAGTTTTCTTCTGAGGTTAAGCAAAGTTTGCTTCTGGGGTTAAGGGTGCTTTTGCTGTGCTTACTACTTAACGGTCCCTATGAAATAGATGGAGGCTCGGTAAGCACAAAGTCGGCTGTTAAGCGCTATGAAATTGGGCCCTGGTTTCCTTGTGATCAGCCACCATTGCAGTAGGCAATCGTACACTGTAAACTAGACAGTAGGGCTTATTTTTTTGCACGTAAAATAACCGCAAGTTCTTTATCAAATGACATCATGGTGACTACCTGTGCTGTGTATGGTTGTCAAAATGGTGCCGACCCAGCTTTGAATGCTTACTGTACCCACTACCTACTGCCCGCAGTGCTATATGATCTTTTCCTACTTCAATGGCGACATAGACTTTCTTGTACCCAGATGTAGACAGGGTCACATGCGTCAGTGACAGCACTTTATAGGAGTGTTTGAAAAACACGTCTTTCCTGTAGCATGCGCTCAGAGAACAGGACAAGTCATGCTGGATGGGCCACAAGATACTGTGGGGGATAAATCTTAGCGAATGGCTGCACCCTGTATGGGATATTGTGTATGTAGTAATGCTTTACGGGTAAGTCAAGCAGAGTAGAAGCTAAACACTCAAACTGTTTGTTTCTTGTGTGTCATTCTTCGGTGATTATTGCTTACTGCCTAAATATGCTAAGCTACATTTTCTGCTTGCCAAGGTGCTTAATTTCATAGCTCTGCTTACTGTAGCGAAGAATCACGCTAACTAAAGAAGACAACTCCCCATGAATAGTAATCAAACGCCATAGACTCAGACAGCTCAAAACTGGCTGCAAGTTGATTGCATGTGCAGTTATTATATGTTTACTTTCATCCTCTGTTATGTGCACTGTCACCACAAGTTCAACTAGGTTATATATTTTCAGCGGTGAGGGGGTTAACTTAGAGTCCTATACGTTTTTCAACCTTCAGGCCTTTTTTTCCAATTACTTGTATTACCTGTAAAAAAAATTACTTGCATTTTTTTTCTTTGATTTTTGTATTTTCCTGCACTTTCATATTATTTCGAGGTTTTAACACTAGGGTTCATGCATGTCGTGTGGTCAGTCAAACATCGCATTGAATTCTCACTGATTCCGAATACCGGGTGTACCATTATGGACCATTAAATACTGCCCTCACACATTGGAATATTTTTTCCCCGCTCCCCACAGGACCTAGGGACCAGAACAATCCGTAATCTGAATAATTAAAAAAAAATGGCTTAAATGTCTTCTTACCAACAGTCATCCCCGCCTGCACTGATGAGATGTCGATCATCGTAGGTGAATCTCACATTAGTCACATGGGCTGAATGGCCGACGTACTTCTTGTGTGGCGCCTGAAAATAACAGAAATGTAGACATAGGATATGTATATTTCAGAAGGGACAAAATCATTTGTGAATTCCAAATAAAATAAGTTTGAAGGAATTTGTCACAAATGTTTCTTGAAATGTAAATCACTGTTTACACTCTATTATTGAATAGAAGTGTATAAAGTCCAACCTTAACATTTGGGCTTAAAAAGAGATAAAGTTTAGAAGAAAACTGACACAAACTGTTTGAATTTACAGATCACACTAGAATCTAAAACATCTTCATTTGTAATTAATGTATTGTTTTATTCATTAGGTTCGCCACAAATTATATTTGTCACGTTGACACGAATTGTTGCGCTTCCTAAGCACATTTTGTACTCAATGTCAATAAATGGCAATATTCGTTGTATTCTACCTCCAAAATGTTCATGTGTTGTGCAAGATTTGAATGTTTTATTGAAATATTGTATCTTACACGTCTAAGCTGCAGCATTCTTCGGATGAAAAAAAAAAGTTATAGAGAGAAATTTAAAGTGGTTCTCAATAATTGAAGATACATAGAAAGACGAAACATTACTGTAACAGTCAGAACTCACGTATTTGTCGGGGCAGGGAAACCTGAACAGCTTGACAAATCCAAAATCATCGCCGGTTGCTAGAGAATTAGCATTGCCTGTCAACGCCGCACAGTTCACATCGGCACTCTGGGAACTTCTGGGCCAGATCCCAACAACTTCAGATCCAAGAACGCTATGGGAATACATGGACATTCAACAAGTTGCTAAATCAACAATCAATTTCAAACAAAAAGCTTGCATTTCTATATTTGTAGAGAAAGAAACGAAGAGTGATATGCCAACAACTATCCAAAATAACACTTACATGTACTTTCTAGACTTTCCAGTCTCACAATGATACATTCCTTATACTTAACTTTCCAAAGGCATCAAGACCACTGATCTCTATATACGTACACAGAACTGCAGAATGGAGTCACATGAAGCCATAATGGAGAAACGAATCGGTGTTCTACAAAGGACAACTGTCATCTTAGATCTGTTCTCAAACGTTGTGATTCACTTTTGTAACATCGTGGTTCATCTTTTGTCCACTTCTGTTCAGTGTTTCAAACATCGCAGTTCACTTTTTGAACATCGCAGTTCACTTTTTACGACATTTGGTAAAATAATAACGGTGGAAACTGTTCCTTTTTAGAACATCATAAAATGTGTGCGTGAAACACGCAAAAAAAGCGGATCAAATCTACATAGTGCGCACAATATGTATGCGTAGTACGTCCGTATTGGCGATTTGGCGGCCATATTTGAAAACCGGGGCGAACTGGTCAAAAAGTGCCATCAGTTAATGTACATCGTAATGGCAATATGCTATCCAGTCAGTACAAGTGGAGCTTGCCCTTCATTGACGTTACTTGTTTCTAATCATATGATATGGGCTCTCCACACAAGTACCCCCTCGCTTGGCTACAAAGAGAGAGTTGGGAGAGACTCATTACTGTCACATGCTTGGTGCTCAAGTGAGATTTAGAATAAACTTAAAAATGCGTCATTGCACCATATGTGATGCGATCAAGCTACATGAGTCGTTTGTCGACTCCGGTCAATTTTTTTTTATTACAGATTTGAAAAGAGCCCAATCTCAGAGTTACTGCTGTGAAAACCGCATGCTGATTTTATCTTTAGTTAAAAAATTATGGAAGTCTGAACACCAAGAGATGTGATGAAGTGGTGTGATGAAGTGGCCCTATTTTGGCCTGTATCTCCAAATGACAATTCCCGACAAACGACTCATGTAGCTTGATCGCATCACATATATGAGTGGTCTTGAAGACTGAGCCATCTACTGTACAAAAGATACATGTATGTAGGGCTGCATTGGCTACGGCTATCTTTAACACACACATGTCTATAGGAAATGGATTTGGTCACTTCCATAGACCTGTGTGTTTATTGCAAGCCACAGCCATTCAGACACAACCTGATGACTATACCTGGTCCATGTCGCCCACGTGATCTTATCTATGGTTGCAGTATCGGTGACCGGTTTTCCACCTGGTACTTCGTACAGTAGTCTTTTGTATGATCCTGTACCGACCTATACATAAAAGATCAATTCAAATGAGCTACACATCACTGCTGATGTATCCATCAATTCTTCACCAAAATATCACTTGAAATGATCAGTCCGTTAATTCACACAGATGGAATGGGCAGATGGCCAATGGTTTGACTGACCTTGTGTGCTATGATAAAGCTATTTCTATGCCAAAAAGGTTGCAAACTTGACTGACAAAAGAAGGCACTAAGTCTCAATAATTTTCTTTGTTTTCTTTTGTAAACCCATCATAGATATCACCATAGTAGAAAGAGGTCTGGAACAGTACATCTATTCCGATGAAACTAGAGCCAGAAAATTGCAATGATGAAATATTTCAAAAAAAGGAAAGTCTCTTCAAATGTCACTTTTTTTACACAGGGTTCCCACAGAAATCTTGAAATTTAATTCCAAGATTTTTTTTCAGGACAACATTAGTGCTTTCCATGACCAATTCCTATGCTGTATTGGCATCTTAGGAGCCTATTGCTCTGGAGGCAAAGGACACCACTCCCTTTCAGCCTTCCAGGTTGACACAAGGCCACTGAGACCCACAAATGCATCACAATAGTACAATGAATGAAAACAATGGTGCAATGAGTATAAAGCATACATGCATAGAAGATGGACAGCCGTAGCAAATTATCTTCAAGTAAACTTGAATCCTTGATCCTGATTGGTCGATCCATGGCAACAAAAGCGTGCTACATTATTCCATGTAGCACCCAAGGAGGGAGGGGCCTATATAATAGGGGTGTAAGTGGCGCCACGTCAAAATAGTCCCCCCCCCCCAAAAAAAAAAAAAATTGTTGGAAAAAAAATTGATATTAGAAAATTGTGAGCCCCCCCCAAGCCAAATCCTGGGTGCGCCACTGTAGCACGGTCCATACCGCACACCGCGGTTCTCGCTATTCTAAGATGCTGAAGTTGGCACTCGTGGAACACGGAGAATGTGTAGTGCGTCTACATCTCACATACCATGAGGCCGAAGGATGGAGACGTACTACATTACTCCGAGTTGCGCTCGCGCTTGTGGGATAACTAATAATATTACGCATTATCACTTATTGGTCGTGCAATATTCCATGACTGTTTTTCTTGGAATACCAACTTCCATAACTGCTTGTAAATTAACCACATTCCATGACTTCCATGATAACTTTATATTCCAGGACTTTCTCTGATGTTTTCCATGACTGTGGAAACCTGGGTTTGCGACGTTAACTCTTACCTGGATGTATTTGCTGTTAGCGGAGAAATCCAGCTGGAAGACAAAGCTGGGGATTCCCCGACAGAAACCGACACGGTTCAGGGAGGGACCTTGGGTCATATCGTAGAAGTCCACACAGCCGTCTTCAGAACCCACGGCAATGTACTGGGCATTGGGACTGAACCTAGGTAATAAGAATACAATAAATGAACAACTGAAATTCCATCACGGTCTGTTTTCATTTTTTTCACCTTTATTTACGCCATATTTAAAGGTGTTTATTCAGAAAAACCAATAAGCAGTTTCACGGTAATATGCGCCAACTTGTTTGTGGGGCAAAAAGAGCATGCGTTGCTAGACGCAGGCACATTTTGGAATGACCGCATGATGAATTGGAAGCGCCGAAGTTTTCCATTGACGATGCGTGTAAAATTGCCCTGCCGGCAAGATGGCGAATATTACCGTGAAACACCTAATTTCAGACTAACAAAATTGTTGCTTAATAAATCATGTAGGTAGGAATACCTCCATGGTTAAATGTATGTGTAGTCATTTATGACAAAATTAACAATAATTGATTAAACGATACAATAAAACAAACATCAGCAGCCGATTTCACGAAACAATGCGTGCGCAACTTGTACCAAGCATATGCAGGATTCGACTTTAATGGTAGCTCGCTAGCCAAATGCTAGTCAAAACAGCGGCGGGCTAGTCAAACTATTCCTTCAGTAGTCCAGCTGGCGAGTGAAAAATTATTGGGCTACGGTAAAGATGAAGGGACAGGAAGAAATAAATCATTAAATTCAGAAAGCAAACCTGTATTTTGTCTAATTAAATTAACTGTTTAGGGTTAAATTATTGGATCTGTTTATTAAAAACACTGACAAGATTGCCTCAGGATACACATTTTTCATGTATGCACGTTGTTGTTTATAAGACACTCTATAAAAAAACAACATGCCGACTAGTGAAAATGCCAGCGGGCTAGTTAAGAGTCTGTTTCATGACTAGTGAAACAAAAAGTTACGGTCGAACCATGGCATATGTTTTACACAGCAAGCTGGTTGTGCAGCACTGCAATAAACTTACAATTGATTTGACAAAACTAATGACAGTTTTCACTTTACCATCTTGGAAGGGCAATTAAACCGTTGTGTATGATTTTATATCACTCGCAAAACAGTCCTTGGAAAATCTCCCCCTGCCATTTCTAAAATATGACTGTGTCCAAATTTTCTTGGAACAGAGCGGCGAGTGAAGTCACATTTCATTGCCTTAAAAACGAAGCTGTTGGTTTCTTGTATCAACTTTTATCAGTTGAATAACGACAGGCTGTATGCCGATCATGATTAGTCGGTAAAGAAGTTGATTTTCAGTTGGTACGCCATAACTTATGCAACATCAAAGACTGCAAATGTTACGCCATAATTTGTTGAAACATTCGTGAAATGTGTCTTGACGATAAAACATGGTGTAAGTGGTTTGAAAAAGGCTGCAGCATTTACTTTGTTGATGGAACTTTTATGAAATTAACAGCAGTACTTCACAGAAAGGTTCAATAGTATAGATTAGGTTCATTGACCCTAACAGAACTCAACCCATCAAAGCCCAACGGCATGTTTCGTTGGAATCTGTCAGGATGGGTACAGTATCCCTAAACCGATTGTGTTTTACAGTGGGCTGGCACACCTCCAGAATCAAAGTCAGAAATATGTGTGTGTAGTTTCCCAAATGGAGTTGGAATTTGCCTAGTAAATCATGCTAGGGAGTTAGGGTTAACCCTAAACCTTCCGAAATCCTCCCAAATCCTCTTTGCAAAATGGAGGATTTTGCAGGATTGAGGCTACATGGCATTGGCAAAAGTGTGTTTCTGTTTTCGGAGGATGCACTTTGTCAAGGTCTTGGGCCAGACCTTGTGTTGTTTAAGCTCAGCCGTGCATAAATTTAAGCCTAAATTTACTTGAAATCTTTGGCACTGCTCCAGGATGTCACTGGCTCTGATTCAACATATTGACGCATTTTGCAGGATTGAGGCACCTCTCCAAGGACCACATTCAAGAAATAATTTTGCAGGATTGAGGCCATATGCTATTACATTTGTATTACATGGAGGCACTTGGAAGATTTTGCAGGATTGAGGTTACATCCTAGCAAAGATTCCTAGGGGTTAGGCTTAATATCTACAACAATGGCACAAAACTTGTTACATTTCCTATTTAAATATTTAGTTCTCATTAGTGATTCAAAGCAATACCAAGTAACATCCTCAATGGTCTGGGATTTAAAAAAAATGTATGCACGGTATTTTTAAGGACAGTTTTCCCCAATGTCACCGATATTATTGATGTATTAATACGACGAAGCCTCGAAGGCCAAAGTAAAGAGAGAGCTTAAAACTAAAAAAAACGTTTTTATGCAGTAATACGAGACCTGACGCTTAATGGCCCCTGACTACCGATAGATGCCCAATAAACAATAAATCACCTCCCTTCTTTACAATAACAAGGTTGATAAAGGAGTAATTACTCTTTTGGTATCCAATTAGGGCAAAATTATCCACTTGTTTCCATGCCAACAAAATCCCCTACCCACTTTGTGACTTTTATCAACGGATATTTAGGCTTAGCTTCAGGCTTGCTTGCACACACAAAATTATATTTTCATTCAATTGTTGGTTTATAAAACCAACACAGCTGAAATTGAATTTAGGAAAAAGAACTGACTATCATTTTGTGTGACTCTACATCTTTCCCCCTGATTTGCAAACCACCAACCAAATATGTATGCGAAGACCCTGCTGTGCACTTGTTCTACACTGATGCTTGTTGTACTTGGGGCCAATGCTCTGTGTACATCTTGCCCGCAAAGATGGATCTATTTCAACCATTCTTGTTACGGCAAGTTCCTAGAGTCACGAGTGTCTTGGATTGATGCTTATCAGAAATGTGCAAGCCTTGGCGCTCACCTACTGGTTCTCAACTCCCGGCAAGAGACAGAATTTATCGCCAGCATGGTCAGACAATTTTTCCCCAAGTCTGATTCATACAAACGAATCTGGCTTGGATGTAAGGAAATTGACAAGAAACGGGTGTGCTCTGAAGATAACCAAGATGAGCTGGCAATGGTCGATGCAAGATGCGTATCACTTGATCCCTTCACTTACGAATCTCTGGATAGTCCTTGTTTTGGCAACAATGGCTTGAGACGAGTCATATGCGAGAAACCACTCAAAATCAAAGTTCGTTGCCAAGCTGTGAGCAAGCAAGATGCTGACCTGATGACCACACCCTACTGCCTGCTGGGCCACGCCTACATGGTCACCCAGATCAAGCACCCGATACAATGCTGCATGGCCTGCTACAAGGATCCCAACTGCCGCTCCTTCAACCTGTCGGGCAAGATGTGTCATCTCAACAATGTCACCATCTCTCAAGTTGATGCCACCAAGTACGTCACTACCGTCAACAACTGTGCCTACTACAGACTTGACTAAAACATCTCAACTTTTTTGGCTCATCAAAAAAAAACAAAGTAGAAATGAAACTAGTGATAAATTCATGGATTCACCGTATTAGAGCACAATACTTTGCTTTTGTCAAAAATGTAATATAAATCTATTGTTAAAGATTTTAAAGATTAGTCGGGGAGTCAGTCAGTTAGTAACTCAGTCAATCAGTCAGTCTGTGACTCAGTCAGTTAGGGGGCACTAGGCTGGCATTTTGGGTCCAGCAACATGGGTTAGACAAGTCTAGTTGGACTACCAAGGGTAAAAGCTTTTTTGTTTTTTGTTTTCTTTAAATAAATTTTTAATGTCTTCATCTCGCCCAGAACACAACACTTTTTATGTACAGGTTTTAAAGTTGCACAATAATCCCTTCTGTTTGCTAGCTGTTTTGGATTAAAAAAAAACGTTGATGAGGAATTTACAGGAATGTAAATGACATAGACGATGTGACATTTTGTTGACAAATTGGTTATTGTAGTCACGTGAAGCCAACTTCCAGCAAACGGTTCTCTTCCGCACTGCATGTATAGCTCTTGAAATACGAATGGTTTAAAAGTGTTGACAACTTGATGTATGTGATGCGATCAAGCTAAATGAGTAGTTTGTCAGGAACTTTCATTTGGAGATTCAGGCCAAAATAGGGCCACTTTATCACATCACTTCATCACATCTCTTGGTGTTCCGACTTCCATAATTTTTGAACTAAAGAGGGTATCAGCATGCAGTTTTCATATCAATAATGCTGACATTGTACTCTTTTCAAAACTGCAAAAAAACCCACAAATTGACCAGGGTCGACAAACGACTCATTTAGCTTGATCGCATCACATATGCTGTTTAAAGTAGGCCAAATAACATGCAAAAGATGCTTAAATGTTTGGGTTGCCCAGCAGTTGCAGGTCGGCATGGCGTCACAGGGCATGTACAGTCTATACATGGATAGGTAATATTTATGATTTATCGAGACGATGAAGGCCAAACTAAACAGAAACATCAGTATGATGCTTCTTAATGCTCCAGTAACGTGAATCGTCTAAGAGTAACAACCAACACGTTTCAATACCACAAGGCCAGACTGAATGCACTAAAGTCCATCAATAAATAATCTCCTTTTTTTGTCACATTGCCAAGCTGATGAATTTGTTATTACCACTTAGGTCTTCGAGGATATTCCAATTTAAAAAAGTCATCCACACGTTTCCATGCCAACCATGAACGTTGGACTTATACATTTTTAAGTTTCTGTGCTCGCCTACATATTGATGTACGACACAAGAGAGCTGAATTTGAGTTGAGGAATAGAACTGACAGAACATCACTTTGTGAGATCCTACATTTTCCTACCTTTTTTGGAAAAAAAACCCAACCAACTAACTATGTACATGTATGCGAAGACCCTGCTGAGCAATTGTGCTACACTGATGCTTATTGTACTTGGGACCAATGCTCTCTGTACATCTTGCCCGCAAGGATGGATCTATTTCAACCATTCTTGCTACTTCAAGTTTCTGGATGATGAGTTCAAAGTTCCTTGGATTGATGCTTACAAGAAATGTGCAAGCCTTGGCGCTCACCTTCTGGTTCTCAACTCCCGGCAAGAGACAGAATTTATCGCCAGCATGGTCGGACAATATTTCCCTAAGTCTGATTCAAACAAACGAATCTGGCTTGGCTGT